AGGTGAGGTGCGAGGGGAGGATGGTTCAGTGGAGAACACCGGGCGACCACTATACCCAACACCCTTGTAAGAAGTAGCATGGGGGCTGGAGAGGGACTCAGTGGTCAAGAGTGTGTGCTTGCTTGCTCCTCCAGACGACCCAAGTTCAGTTCCCAGCACCCATGTCAGGCAGCACACAACCACCTGTACCTCCAGCTCCAGGGCGGGATCCAACTTTCTCTCTGGTTTCTGCAGGCACACACACACACACACACACACACACACACACACACACATCACACAGATGCATAATTAAAAATAAAAATAAATATTTTAAGTATATTTCATTTATTATTTTTATTTTGTGTGTATGAGGGTATTGCCTGCATATATGTGAGTGCACCTGAGTTGTGCAAGGTCAGAAGAGGGAATCAAATTCTCCTGGAGTTAAGGACAGTTTGTAGCCACCATGTGGGTTCTGGGAACCTGGGTCGTTTCAAAGAACAGTCAGTGCTCTTAACCACTGAACCATCTCTCCAGCCCCAATAAAAATAAATCCTTTTTTTAATTTTTAAACTTTTTATTATTTTTATTTTATGTGTATGCATGTATTGCATACATGTAGGTAAGTGCACCTGTGTTGTGCAATGCCCGCAGAGGTCAGAAGAGGCTGTTGGATCCCCTGGGACTGGAGTTATGGACAGTTGTTAGCTGCTATGTGGGTGCTGGGATTCGAACCCGGGTCTTCTGCAAGAACAACCAGTGTTCTTAACTGCTGAACCATCTCTCCAGCCCATAAAAATAAATCTTAAATTAAAAAAACTGGGCATGGCTGCACACCTGTAATCCCAATGTTAAGGGAACAGGGTGGAGACTAGAATCACTAAAGCTTCCAGTTTAGCCAATAAACAGTGAGCTCCAGGTTCAGTGAGAGATTCTGTCTCTAGGGGATGAGAGAGCGTGACAGAGGTGGATATTCGTATGTACTATGCACTGGGAGGCTGATGATCAGCACAAGTCAGTCTGGGCAAGCCTGGCCAGAGGTACTGAGAGTACAGGCTCCCTGCAGCAAAGAGCTCAGATGTCAGATGTCAGGGTCTTAGGCCTGAAAATCCCCAACGAAGAATTTATCCTGAAAGCCACTGAGGGCTGCTCTGCCGTGTAGGTATCTCCCTGTCACCCCCGCCCCGTCACTGGGAACATATTCTTTTAAATTTAAATTTCCTAGACAAAGGGAAATTGTTTTCAGTTTTGTGAGATGAAAAAGTTTTAGAAAGCAAATCTTGAACTGAACACTTAAAAATGGTGGGGACAAGCAGGGCGTGGTGGCGCACACCTTTGATCCCAGCACTCGGGAGGCAGAGGCAGGTCCATCTCTGTGAGTTCAAGGCCAGCCTGGTCTATATAGTGAGTTCCAGGACAGCTGGGGCTACAGGGGGACCCTGTCTCGATGATGGAGATGGGGCTGGAGAGATGGCTCAGTTGGTAAGGTGGTTTGCTGTTCAAGCACAGGAACCTGCATTTGATCCCCAGCAACCACATATGTGGTGTGTTCCTATAACCCAGCACTGGGAAGGTCGAGAGAGGTAGATCCCTGGGGCACGCTGGCCAGCCAGACTAGCCTACAGGGCGATGAGGGACTCTGTCCAAACACAAAACGTCATCCATCACTGCCAACAAAACAAAACAAATAACTCCAGGGGTTGGCAAGATGGCTCAGTGGGTGAAGGTGCCTGTGACCAAACCTGACGGCCTGAGTTCAATTCCTGGGACTTACACGGTGGAAAGAGATTGCTGACTCCTGCTGGTCGTTCTCTGACCTCCACATGGTATAGCCGTGTACGTGTGTGTGTGTGTGTGTGTGTGTGTGCCACGTGCACGTCCGTGCGCATACACACATACCCATACCTGTACACAAATTTATAAGTAATGAAGATGATAAATTTATGTGATGTGTGATGTGAATTTTACCACCACGAAATAGCTAAAGGAAAGGGGATTGGCTGAGCATTGAGATTGTGAAAAAATGTGATGATTTGGGTGAAGAAGCAGGAGGCGGGGGCTCAGCCCAGCACCCAGGTGTGCTGTGTTTGGGTTCCCTTTTTTTCCACAGCTGGCCTGGACTCACTATGCAGACCAGGTTGGTCTCAATCTCACAGAGATCTGCCTGCCTCTGCCTCTGGAGTGCTGGGATTAAAGGCTTGTGCCACCATGCCCGGCTGATATTTACCTTTTAAGGATGGGGAAACTGAGGCTAGGAGGCACTGAGGCCAAGCAGGACCTGGATCTCCTCCCACTTGCTCTGACCCCAGGCCAAGCTCCACCTGTGCCGTGCAGCATCCTGGGAAATCACACCCCCCCCCAAGCTGGTCCTGTGGCATAGAGTGGCGGCTCTGTGTCAAGGCACTGACTGCTGTGACTGGTGGCATCTGTTGCAGGTAGTTGATGGAGAAGTGGGCGGATGACAGCCGGGACTGTGGTCATCACTGGGGGCATCTTGGCGACTGTGATTCTACTCTGTATCATTGCCGTTCTGTGCTACTGCCGGCTCCAGGTACTCCCAGGGGATGGGCACCGGGACCGGGTTGGGGCGGAACCTGGAAGGTGGCTCTGCAGGAAAGAGGAGACCCTCAAGGAGGCAGATATTGGGGGTCGGGGTACAGCCAGATCTCCCGCATGGGAGAGAGATCACCATCTGTGCGGCTCAGAGTTGATGACCAGCTGCTCAGCTCACGCAAGACTTGGACTAAGACAGAGAGTAAGGGACTTAGCCAGTGGCACATAGCTGCCCTGCGGGAGGGCAGTGGTGGGCACCCTGCTGTCTGCATCTCTTCCCTTGCCTGAGCTTTAGAGCGTCTGGTGGCCCCACATCCTCCTGGAAGGAGGAGCAACCTTTGTGCAAGGCAAACCCAGTGTCTATACTCGACTCTGGGATCTGATGGGGCTTATATTCAGTTGTGCCACTTTGAGGCTGCTTGCCCTTCTGTGCCTCAGTTTCCCCACATGCACCAGCCTTAGCTCTGCAGTGTAGCGAGGTGAGTGACGTATTGCAGGGAGCTCTGCATGGTTCCTGGTGAAGTAAACCCTGGGTGGCAATAGAGTAAGTGATGTCCAGACAGGGCTATAATCTTGAGGGTCACCTTCCAGTGTTTGGGGGGTGCAGCACGGTCACCTGGCCCTCTGCCCACAGTACTACTGCTGCAAGAAGGACGAATCCGAGGACGACGAGGAGGAGCCCGACTTCGCCGTGCACTCGCACCTGCCGCCCCTGCATTCCAACCGCAACCTGGTGCTGACCAACGGGCCAGCGCTCTACCCGGCTGCCATCACCTCCTTCAGTCAGAAGTCCCCACAGGCCCGCGCCCTCTGCCGCAGCTGCTCCCACTACGAACCACCCACCTTCTTCCTGCAGGAGCCAGAGGACGACGACATCGAGGGTGTGTGCAACGGCGGTGGCCGCGTGGCCTACAAGAGCATCAGCCAGGAGGACGTGGAGCTGCCCCCTGGGAGTTTTGGGGGCCTGCAGGCACTCAACCCCAACCGCCTCTCTGCCATGCGTGAGGCCTTCTCCCGGAGTCGCAGTGTCAGCACTGACGTGTGACAATCCCCCATCCTGCCCAGGCACCCAGCCCTGGAAGGTCCAGAGGACCATGGCAGGATCGCTATGGCACACCCTGGCCCCACACCCAGACCTGAGCTCAGCCAAGTCTTCCCTGCATCCCTGTCCTAGGGGGCCCAGGTGTGGGGAGCCCCCAGACCCACTACGAGGATAAGGCCCAGTGAGCCAGGTGTGGCAGCTGTGGATAGGGGCAGCTGGCACCTGGAGGGAGGCGGGTCTGATGTGGGGACCTGTGCGAACAGGAGGGCAAGGTGGGGCCCTGCTGGCACACAGAGGCCGGGTCCTGTTTCCAGGAGGTGGGAAGGTGGCCATTGCCAACCCCAGCAACTTGGCTCTCTCTGGCTTCATGTCTTGCCAAGCCTTGGATGTCCTCCCTGTTCAAGGGAGGGATGGCCTCATTAGTTGCCAGGGGCCCTACAAACGTGAACCTTCTGTAGAGACTATGGACCAAATATTCTGCCCCTCCACCCTGAGTTCCTCTTCCTTCCCCAGCCTGCCCCTGCCCGTCTCTCTTCCACCCTGATTCTTCTCCCCCCTCTCTTTCCCAGCCCCTCATGTCTCACACCCCAGGTGCCAAGCATGGGTTCAGGCCTGAGATGCCCATTGGTCTGAGCTCCCTACAGATGGACAGGTCTTCCCAGAGAAGGGAGAGTTTAGGGGGCAGCAGTATTCTTAGGGTGCTGTTCTGCCCTTGATCTGTTTTTTTGCTGAGAGGAAGCACAGACTTATGGGGACACTGCTCCGGGAGGGTTGATACTGAAATTCACACACCCAGCACTCAGCCCTAAACCCAGCCAATTGGCAGGCACATCCAACAAGGCCACCTATACCCCACGGGTCCTCAGCTGCCAACTTACCTTGAATCTTCAGCAGGCCATCTCACCCCTGGGTTGTGTCCCCATCAGTGTGTGGTGAGTGGCTGGCTTCAAAAAGCCGTTTAAACTCTGGTTCTCCTTGGGACCCAAGATCCTCAGGGGACACAGCTCTAGGTCACCCCTTTCCTGCTTTCTGTTTGAAACAAGGCCCCTGAGCCTTGCTGTCCTGTGCAGGCTTCATCTGCACCCTTGTTGTCCCAGGCCCTCTACGAGCTGAGGAAAAACTGGCGTCTCTGAGAGATGCCCCAGCCCGGGGCCCCAGGAATCAGAATAGCTCTCTTCCCCCCGGGGGAGGCAGCAGCATGGCCCCCAGAGCCCTTTCCCCCCAAGGGCTCTTTCTCTGTCTCTCTCATCTGTGCCCTGCTGTGGGGCCCCAGGGGAGCAAGCGCCTTTTACAGGATGGTGGCCACCTCTGCACTGGACAGCAGAACAGGACAGTCCACACTTAAAAGTGCACAGACGTCGCACCGGCAGTTGAACCGAGCTAGTGATGAGCGTCTCTGGCATTGTTGAAGTTCTCTCCCTTCTCCGGCTCTGCTTGGTCTTGCTAACAGTCCTAGCCCACTTTCCACTTCCTTTGTCCTATCTCACCCTTGCAATGCGTGGGGTGCAGATGAGGGTAGGTGGGGGACACTCCGGGCTGCTCCGTCTCCATCTCCCATCCTTTCAGACCTCTGCCATCTCTGTATTGATTCATAGACCTCTTTGAAATGAATTACGCGTCCATCCTTTCCACCTCGCTCTGCACCTCTACGGGCCCTACCAGGGAGCCACAGTGCCCCTGGGAAAAGCAAAAGCCAATAAATTTTGTTTCCCATCCCACGCTGTTTGTCTGCCATCCACTGGGTGCCTGTAAGCATAGACCTTCCCTGGAGCGCCCCAGTGCCAGGTAGAGCCTGCCTTCCCAACCCAGATGGTGGGGTCTGGCTCTACCCAGAGGATCTGGGAGCAACTCTCAAAGCTTGGGGGCACCACAGCAAGCCACCATTGTTTTTTAGAGCCTCATGCAGGACTTCCAAGATCGGAACCCACCAATGTCATCCCACCAGTCTGGAGAACAGATTGGACATGATGGGCTGGGCTTCTTGGGACAGGTGACTGGCCATTCCTGGGCTTGCTTTAATGTCAGAAAGGGAGGGGGGAGAAAGGGAGGAAGGAAGGAAGGAAGGAGGAAGGAAGGACGGAGGAAGAAAGAAGGAAGGAAGGAGGGAGGGAAGGAAGGAGGGAGAGAGGAAGGAAGGAAGGAGGGAAGGAAGGAGGGAGGAAAGAAGGAGGGAAGGAAGGAGGGAAGAAGGAAGGAGGGAGGAAGGAGGGAGAGAGGAAGGAGGGAAGGAAGGAAGGAGGAAGGAAGGAGAGAGGAAGGAAGGAGGGAAGAAGGAGGGAGGAAAGAAGGAGGGAGGAAGGAGGAAAGGAAGGAGGGAGGAAGGAAGGTTTTGCTGGGCCTGTTGGAGCAGCCTGTGGTCCCTGCTAGTTCATAGCCTGAGGCAGGAGAACTCAAAGTTCAAGGTCAGCCTAGGTAACTTAGTGAAACCATGCATCAAAATAAATGTCAAATGAGGGCTGGGAATATGTCTCAGTGGCAGGGCGTCTAGTATGCATGAGGCCCTAGGTTCAGTCCTAAAGGAAGGAGGGAGGAAGGGAGGGAGGAAGGAGGGAGGAAGGAAGGAGGAAGGAAGGAAGGAGGGAGGAAGGAAGGATCAGAGAAAGGAAGAGAGGGAGCCTGGCAGGGAGGTGTGATGGGGTTCAGGTGTGGCAGAGGCACCAGGCCTTGGATACAGGGATGCTGTGCTGCCCAATCCCAGCTAGTAACCTGGAACACATCCGTCCCCCAAACCTCTAACTTCTGGAATCTGAGGAGTAGAAAATAAAATCCTTAGGGGCAGCTGTCCTGTTGCATCGCGTTTGGTACAGGAATATACAGGGACGGGAATATCCTGGACTGGGTGTCACCTCAGTTTCCCGTAAGTCCTAAGTCCTTCAGAAACACAACTCTGTGACAGACCCTCCCTTGAGTCCCAGCTCAGGAACAGACCAACCTCTCCACCACCTGGGCCTGAAGGACACTTCAACGGTCAAGGCTCACTGTCCACGGATGGCTCAGATGTCTTCTCTACCTCACTGGGAGCTCTGTGTGTGTGTGTGTGTGTGTGTGTGTGTGTGTGTGTGTGTGTGCTGTTTCCTCTTCCACATTCTCCTACCCAGAAAAGGCTGGCCTAAAGTAGCAACCCCCCACAGCCCCTGTGTGTCTCTGAACGCACAAGACAGCCGCCACGCTACATGAAGCTGTACACACCCCTGAGAATGGTCCTTCCAGGAGACTCAGGCCACAGCCACAGATGTCCTTGGTCCTGTCCCATACCCCATCGTTCTCCCAACATGTTAATAGCCAGCTGTTCCATTTACTGAGGCTCAGGACACCTACAGGACCCCGTGAGCCCTCAGGTCTCCGTGACCCCTAGCCCCCAGGCTGATCGTCAATAGTTGGAGATCCTGACCAGTTCCAACCTCAACGCAGTCCTGTTGCCCTCCCTGTGCCCTCCCTGCTTTTCTGGTTACCTTTATCATCTACTTTCTATATTTGACTGCCTTATTCCCACACCCACTGTCCAGAAAGAAGCAGCCCTACCCAAGCCCTGGAGGCCACCCACCACTCCTGCCCAAAGTGACTGTGACCCCAGGATGCTGCCATAAATACAGCCACTTTATTAACATACACCAGTGAATACTGAGGACGACGACAGGGACATTGAGAGAACGAGGCCTGTCCCTCCCGTCCAGCACAGGAGCTCCAGGAACGGAGGCACAGTGGCGCTGGTACTTTGGGAAGGGGTACCGTTGGTATCTCCAGGGATGGGGCAGCTTGGATTCCTCAGCTGACCCCAGGCCCCTCTTCATCCAAGGTAACCAAGGGAGAGAAGTCCTCTCCTTCCTGGATCATCTACAAGTCACCTTGAGAGGGCTCCACCTAAGAGAAGGGTCTGGAAGGTGGGCAGGTGTTGCCTACACTGGGCTCTGGTCTCTGGGCCCTCTGGGGTGGGTGCAAACACAGGATCCCGGACTTCAGGTACAGCTTCCCACAGCAGGGTGGCTCCATCTGGGGAGAGAGGCCGGCAGGCATTAGGAGCTCTCCCCCAAGGCAGAGACAGGGCCACAGCATGAAAGTCCCTTCTTGTCAGCTGAGGCTTGGTGCCACATCTTCACGGCCCAGGATCCCCTGCAGGGAGGGGTGCTCAGGTCTCAGGGGCTACCGCACCAGCCTAGGAGTGGGGGGGCCTGCAGGAGCGGCAGCAGGCCTTGCTGTAGTACCAGTGGTCACAGAGGTTCACTTTGATGGCCAGTGCACAGTTGGTGCCCGGCTGGTCCTGGCAGCTCTCGTCTGAGGGAGGGACACAGTGCAGGAGGGATGAAATGTCAGGAAGAGGCCAAAGGGGTGAGAACACAGCTTCTAGGGTCCCCAACCCTTATCACATCATCTCCCCAACAGCAGGAGCTTCCTCACCCAGGGAAGCCCAGGAGTGGCATTGTGAACAGGTGGCTAGGTGGGCCCCCTGGCCCAGGTCCAGGGACCAGAGCTCACTCCGCCCCAGCCTCTCCCACCTGCTGCAGGTCACTAGTTCTACCTCTCAGCCACCCCTTTCCTGATGCCAGTCTCTCCCCAGGAAAATCTGGATCCCACCAAGTGGTTAGATGTGAACATCCTGAAGGATAAAACCCCAGGAGCCAGGATTTGGGAGCACCCCTATTCCTCCTTCCAAAAGTTCAAACACCCCTATGGTCCATGGGCACCTCTCCCTGTGACTCAGGACCCCCAAAGCAGATCACCTTTCCCTGCATCTGGCATCCACTTCAGAGCCTGGATCCTTGTCCAGGGGCCAAGCCAGAGACCCTGCCAGATCTCCACTCCCTGTCTCCTGGGGGCCAGCACCTGCTCTTGAGGCCAGATCATCCTGGTCCCTGGTCCCACAACTGCCCCCCCTGCATCTAAACTCAATGCTTTGTCTAAGGCACAAGTCTCTGCATGACCCCCTGGGCTCCCTGGATTCCCTGGACTCCACTGGCTAGGCTTGGCTGGTCCAAAGGGAACCTACCCTGGAGACTTGCTTATGTCCCTAGCTGCCTCCCTGGACTGGTGACTACTGGTCCTTCAAGCCCTGGCTCCTCCCACACCTTCTCTAGCCAGCCCCAATCTGGTTCCCAGCCTCCTCCTCCTTACCTGGGGGCTCTGTGGGGCAAGGCTGCAGGTCACAGGCCTGTCTGCCAACAGGCTTCACCAGCGGGTCACAGCCACGGACGATGTCAGTTCCCTGATAGCACTTCACATCTCTCATCCTCACGCCCACTCCACATGTCTTGGTGCACTGGTGTAGGGCAGACAGACAAACGGGCACATGACAAATGCCCATCCACACACAGAATAACAGAGACAGGGAGCCTCACCATCCAACACTCTCCCTTCTCCGACCCCACCCATCCCACAGGCTGCCAAGTACCAGCTGACCCAGGACACACCAGTTCCTTGGAAGCTAGAGCCCACAACTGGGGGCTGAGCAGAGGTAACCTGGCATCTCTGCCTCTGTTTCTCCAGCGTCATAATTGGGGTGGCCCCTGTTGTCCCGATTATGTCCTGTTGGGTGTTCAGGTTCCAGATGACCCTCATCAGTAACAGAGAGTTTGCTACAGGCCAATCAAAGTAGCTTCTAGAACCTCTGCCCCATCCTCATCACAAGGCCAGATGTTCCCCTCAGAAAGCCTGTGGAGCTTCCCAGAATACCAGGGGCATCTGCTGACCCCAATTACCTGCCCCCCATCCCTCTGCCAAGATCCCGAAAGCAGTAGTAGTTCCTTGACGTGGTGACCCCGCATCACCTGGGCATGTCTGGGACCTGAGGAGGGGAGAGGTCCTCAGCCCAGGCTCACCCCCAGTCTGGTTACAAGGCACAAAGGAACTTCATGAAGGCTGGAAAGAGGCCACCTGCTTGTTCACCCGCACCAAGGAGAGGAGAGGCTGGCTTGGCACAGGCGACCAAAGGACACTACCTTTGGCAGGTGCCCCAAAGATGTGTGGGCCCCTGGCACATCCTGGCAACTGCTCCTCTGTCCCTGGGGAGTGGATGGGACAGAGCAGCTGGAGGGACGGACACTGAGCTGGTGAACAGTATGGTGAAGGGGCACTGCCCCAAGCAGGGGCAGGATGAGAGTCCCACATGTCCACCATCCATGTGTTCGAGCCACCTCATCTGCCCCTGCCATGGCCTCATCAGGGCACTATAGGAAGCACCCTTCCCCATGGCTACTTTGGGGGACCTCTTCTTCCTACTGGCCCCTCTTCTCAGTACCCAGCACAGTACCTACACTGACTAGGCCCTGACCCCACAGCTGCCCTTCCAGCAGAGACTGATGCTCTTCTCAAAGCACATGGTGTCCTGGGCTCCCTAGGCCCCAGCCAGGCCTCTCCTCTAGCTGGGCTCGGTCCAGAGGTGACATTTGCTCCGACCTGTGTTTCTCTCTATCTACATGCCCACCCCCATGCCTACTGGTCCTCAGGCTCTGACTCTGCCAACCACCTCTAAGTAGCCTTCCTTCTCACCTGGGGCGTGGGAGTGTGGTGGTGCTTGGTGGGCACTGCAGAGTGAGGGGTGTGTGTGTGTGTGTGTGTGTGTGTGTGTGTGTGTGTGTGTTCTCAACCTTGAACAAGTACATGTGAGAGCAGGGGCCCCATGCAAAACACCCAAGTTGTTGAAAACCTCTGAGGGACCGGACCATGCTTCAGAAGAGGCAGCAGATGGGACCTACCACACCAACCCCTTGGGCCCTCGGGTCTTGGTATCTATAAACCCCCATCCCAGCAGCTGAACCCAGGGAGGATCCATGCGTAGGAGCCTTGGAACATCACAATGAAGGCTCTGGGCTCTGAGCTCCATCTGACACGCCTCTACTGTGCCTAAGTATTCAGAGCTGAACTGTATAGGAACCAAAGGCACGGGCAGCTGGAGACCCTGGGCCACCGTACCTGACACAGGAGCTCAGGCCTCAGCCCCTACTACAAAGATGGCTCTGGAATCTCCGGATCCCCTCCCAAGTGTTTATAGCCCTGCAAAGGGGTGTCTCTGCTGCTGGGGAACATAGAGGACGTGGTGGCTAGATGTTGGAGTTAATAAATGCTGACCTCTAGATGTCACTGCCTCTGTGCTATTAGGAAGGCTCAGAGCTCTGACAAGCCCCAGGGGGTAGAATGGCTTCTGCAGGTGGGGTACAGGACAGCTGATGGGGTGGAGGACAGCTGAGATACAGTCCCTCTGCTCTGCTGGTCAGAGACCGGGCAGGGGGCTATCTCACTGCCTTGCTGCCTGCCCATCACTTGCTTGTGAGTTGGGGCCACTCATCCTCAGGGCTCCCTGACCTGGCCTCCGGGGTGGGCTATCTTGTGGTTGGTTTCCATTTGTGGTGTCCGAAGCCCCTGGCTTTGACTTGGGCTCCCATTTCTAACACACCTCAATAACCATGCCCCAACCCACCCCAGGTCGGAGCGTTCTGTCGTTTCTACCCCGTCCCCGAGAAGTGGAAAAGGGAGCCCCTTCCTGAATGCCAACAAGAGGGAGGAGACCCAGGAATGAGCGCTGAGCCCCAGACACCCTCAGAATCTCGGCAGCAACAGTTTACAGAGCCAAGTGCTTGGCTCCATCCCGTCTGGCATCCTAAGAAGTCCATGGAACCCAGCAGGGGCTAGACCAGTGTTGGGGAGCTGCCGGCCTACTGCTGCCCCAGCGTCCTGCCTCAACGTCCTGCTCCAGGGCTCTCGCCCTGCCACCTGTATCCCCAAGTCCCATGTTGCTACTGTGGCAGGGTCTAAGCATAGTTTACACCCCGAGTCCGTCTGGGATTCACCTGGCCTTTGGAGAGTGTCAGGTGTACACACTACCAAACACACCATTGAAAGACCACTGTTTTAAGTCAGAATGACCAAGCACAGAAAAACCCAGAACAAGAGTTTCAGGGGTACGAGATCAGAGAAGGTGTCTAGGCAGGGACGGCCCTTCACCAGCTGATCTGGACACACGGGGAAGCTTTCAGGGACAAGCACCCTGCTGACAGGCTTGGAGGAAGGCTTAATGGACACGTGGGTCAAGAACGAGGTTCCAAAGTAGGATCAGAGCCAAGGCCCAACTTGAGGCAGCCCGAGGGGCCTCCTAGGTGCTCACCTCCGACCAGGGGCTGGTGTACCACTTGAAGCAGGGTCTCTCGAAGCACGTACTCTCCTCAGGGGGCTTCCTGGCCAGCCCACACTCGGGGCCACTGCGCGTCTGCGGCTTCCCGTTGGCCAGCTCCATGCAGAGGACCAGCCGCTTCTTCACACCACGCCCGCAGGTGGTGTTGCACTGAGGGGTGCCAGATGGCCCAGGTCAGGGGCCAGAGGCCTTGGAGGGCCAAGACCCTGACCACAGGACCTCCAGTGACAAAGGTTAAGTCAATGACATTTGGGTGAAAGTGTTCAGATAACTGGTAGATTGGCTGAGAACGCTGTTCCATAACCATTTGGCTCCGTGTAGATTTGATCAAAAGCAATTAGGCCCCGAACCATCTGTTTTGAAATAAATTGGCTAATGCAATTTGGCCAAGGATGATCTGGCTAAAATCAATTCAACAGAAAGCAATTTGGCCCAAGATTATTTGGTTAATGGTCACACGCCTGAACCCACTGGCTGACGGCAATCGTCTGAGACAGCAAGTTGTTGGTGAAGACGGCTAGGACAAAATGAGTCATGATAGCAAAAGGTTGGCGGCCGTGGGCTGAGACTGTAAGCAGCCAGCAGGTCCTAGCTCTGGTCCCCTGGGAACTGGGGACTGCAGACATCACTAGAGGGTGCTGCTGCTAGACTTAGGAGATGGGAAGAGTTTTTTCCTACCTTTTTGGCTTTTTTCCAAGTTAATTTTTAATCAATCCCTCTCATAACTTGTCATGAATTCCTCATTGTGACCAGCCATCAGCTCTCAGCAAGTTCTGTCTGGTACCCATGCTATCTGGGCCCTGTGTGTGCTCCTGGGCACTTACCCGCTCCCAGTCCTGGGCCAACCAATGTGCTGGACAGTTCTTGTCTCCACAGGGGTGGATAGCCAGGGGTTTGGTCTCTGTCTGGCACTGAGACTCAGGGACCACCCGTCCGTCGCTGGTCTTACAGTACACGTGCCTGATGGTGCGGCCCTGTCCGCAGCTCCCACTGCACTACAGGAGGGGATAACGGGATGAGGAATTACAGGGGCCATTCCACAGGCCCCACCACCACCACACCCACGTCATCCCCAAGGAAGAGAAACAGAACCCAGGGCCCTGTGAGGAAGCAGTTGCTGTGGTAACCACTTTTTAAATAACATTTCTGTTCTAATTACAGAAATAACATGCTCAATGCAAAACACACACAGAGAAAAGCACAGCTCAAAAGGTCACCCGAGCCCCCACTATCAGAGGTGACCCTACCTAGCATCTGAATAGCTCTCTTCCAGATGATACAGACAGAGACAGAGGGAGATACAGACACACACACAGACAGGAAGAGACAGAGAGACAGAGACACAGACGGGAGAGACAGAGGTGAGAGACAGAGAGGTCATAAACGGGACGAGCATGCTGCTGCTTGTTTTCTGGACAAGAGTTCGAGCCCCTAAAATAGAGGGAGCCCGATTGCACTCCTCCTTCACATCTTGGCTCCATGCAGATGAGGAAAGCACAGAAAGGCAAAGTCCTCAGGTTCCCTCGCCAGCCTCCTGACCCCAAACCTGCCCTCACCGGTCCCCAATCTGAGACAGTCCACTGGCGGTCACAGGGAGGACCCGAGCAGCTCTTCTCTCCCACGGGCCGGGTGCCGGGATCACACAGCTTCTCATCCCCTGAGCAGCGGATGTCCCTGGTCACTGTGCTGCGCTCCCCGCACTTGGCTGTGCACTATGAGGGAGCAGGAGTGAGGGCCGGCCAGACGCACCTGTGCCCAGCCCTTGGCCAACCTCAGCCTCTGGAGACGGACGGACGCTCACCTCTGACCACTCTGACATCTCCCACTGCGGCCCGCAGGCCGGGTTGCGGCAGGTCTTGCGTTCCTCGGGTCGTACGGCATCGGTGGCCTCGCACAGGTCACTGTACACGGAGCTGTCGAAGCCAGGGGACAGCATCTTCCAGCAGCGCACGATGCGGAACTGGTGGCCCTCGCCACAGGTTCGTGAGCACTCGCTCCAGCTGCTGGTCTCCCACCTGCTCAGGAGCAAGAACAGCCTTCAGTGTCCCTATCAAGTAGCAGGGACCTTCATTCCCCAAAGGCGCCAACTGACACACACCAAACCAGACAGAAAGGAGGCAAGACCCACCAGTGGGAACTGCACCCACAACAATCCTGTGTTCATTACTTGGGTGGAATGGTGGGTGGGTGCCCTGCAAGTGCCCATGGCCTTCTGGGGCCTGACCACCTCCGCCTGCCCTCACCTCCAGGCCTGAAGTCTTGTTCGTCTGTCCTTTCTGTTCCCTGCTCCGGGGTTATAAAAGAGACCCAGGTACCCCACACAGGGCCTCTGAGAAGACACACTGGAGTAAAATATCTAAAACCCAAGGGGATTTAGGGAGGCTCAGGCCAGCTCTAGGGTCTCTTTTATCCAGGATGCTGCAGGCTGGAGGAAAAGTGGAAATGTGCCTGCGTTGGAGCAGGAAGTGCCCCTGGGAGGTGGCATCTGGGCTCTACCTGATATGAGGAGGGCTCTGCCTCTACCTTGAAGATAAGGCAGAGGATAAGAGGGTTAGAAAGATGGGGCTTTGCCCACAACCAGGCAGTAATGCCCACTCCCTTATGAATGTCCCAGCTGCACAGGTTGGCCTGGGGACAGTAGCCCTCCAGTATGGAGTAATGCAGAGAAACGTTTCTAAACCTACAGAGGACCCCTGTGTGCTCTGCTCCCATCCTCCCACAGGGCCCCACAGCCCAGTTCACAGCAGACGCAGAGCAGAGTCCCAGTGTGAGCGTGGCTGTGCACACACATTCAGTGACTCTTATACCCGGCTGGGTGCTCAGGGGCAGGTACCTGGGCTGACACTCTCTCCCAGCGCAGAACTCATGGACAGGCTCAGGACGGGTCAGGGCATCACAGTAGCTGTCATCCACCTCGACACCGTCATAGCGAACACACATGGCGTATGTGGACATGACTCCTAGGATCAGGGCAAGTGGGGGGATGGGACTTTAAGATGAGTGGTAACAAGTACCTTGGTCACCAGCAGATAGGTGAGCCTTGTGATCCTGAGTGGGTCACATGACCACTCAGAGCTGGGCTTCTCAGATCCGGGATGGTAAAGGCCTAGGTTGGGGCAGGGAGCTCTGTGGAGCAGAGCCCTCTGCGTCCTGAGTCTCGGGGTCTAACCTCTTTCTTTGCGTCCTCATCCCAGCTTCTCCAACCCAGGCTGGGCATCCAGCTTACCTGCCACAAACCCAGATGGGTCTTTACGGGGCAGAGGAGAGGCAGATATGGTCAGGTTCCCGGATGTTCATTCATCTGACAAACCCCATTTGTGGGAGATGAGCAGGGTGGCAGCTGGGAAATCTAACTATTGCAACCCTCAGTATCAGATTAGATGCCCCACCCCTTAGTAAATGCCCAGCACCCCTGAATGTCTTCAATTATGTGTGTTGCTCTTTCTGGGCTCCCTGGACCCTAAAATCCCATGGGGATGGAAGGGCATCCCCGAACCATAAGGATTCCCTGACTGCACCTCACCTCCTTCCTCCATGAGCTTCCTTCCTACACCTGAGCATGAGCCTGCCTGTGGCTCCCTAAACAGTGGGCAGCCCATACCAGGAAGCAAGATGAGTCAGGATCATGCTGAGCTGAGGAAAGCCAGTGTGAGTCCCCTGGGGTTACTGTGTCTCTACCTTTCCATGGGGTGTCTGAGCCCCAGCAGCTTCTGCTGCTCCAAACCCCAGCCCTGGACAGAGCTATGGAGTTGGGAAGCAACCCCACATGTGGGGTGGTTTTTGTGTGTGTGTGTGTTTTCTTTTTTCCATAAGGGCCAAGCCAGGCTGCAATTATGGTTTCTCTCCTGCCAGCACTGGGCCGTGTGGCCTTCAGCTCACTGGAGGAGCAGGCAGCTTCCTGGCTAGGTCCACTTGGAATGTTTCAAGCCTCAGAGACACTACCTCTGGGGCCCAGGGAGGTGGGGCTGGGGCTGGGGACGCATACAGCCACCCCAAGTGCCTAATTATTTGTTGGCTTCTCCACGGAATGGAAACACACAGACAGGAATCAAGTCCCACCTGGCAGGGCCACCAGGCTCGTCCCAGACCCAGCTTGCTCATCTCCAAAATGGGAACCTTCCACAGAGGCTCTGAGAGTGAAAACGTCACTTTTCTGGGCGTCTTCTCCTTATGCCTGTCTTGAGAACAGAGCTGCACAGAACTTCTTAGCCGCAGGACCCTTACTCTGAGCTGAGGTGAGCTGACAGTTCCAAATAGGAAACAGACAAGACCGGCTGGCCGTCCTCAACTGCAGTGTCCCCAGCCTCCCCGCACCTGGAAAACCGCTATGCACTGAGCCCCAAACTAAGTCCAAACTCATTTGACAGCACTTCTGTCCTTCGTGGGGGGAGGGGACAGAGTATAGAGAAGTTGGCCTTATGACCTGGCATAGCCTCAAGAACAGGTCCTTGGCCTGGGGGTGGGGCTGGGTGCTGCTGTGTGCCCATGACTCTCTACAGGGCACCTGCAGATACCATGTGCCACCCACAGCAGGCAACCCCCCCGCAACACTGGCCTGGCCTGGCCTCAGTGCCCTAATGTGAGATTTTCAACACAGCTGCAGCTGCAGACATCAAACGCAAGCCCTGGGAGTAAGTAGAACCTCCCAGATGCAATTAGTGAGGTTAGGCCAGGAGGGGCTGAGGCAGGGAGCTGTCCACACTGCTCTGTCCCTTCTGCCAGGGTCACTTGGTTGACTCAGGGGCTCTTACGGTTTCAAGAACCCCTCCACTCCTGACATCCTTTCTACAGCAGAGCTCGTCCCTTTCCCAGCATCAAACACGTCCTGTCTCCTTCCCTCCTGGGTCCTGCTCCGCGCTGTAGGTTATATAGAGCAGGTCCCTGTCCTGGACACTCATGTCGAGAGACAGCAGCGCCATGTTCTCCCTGGAGACTTCATCTACCAGGGCCTGTCCATCAGGCCCCTCGCCACCAAGACCACCTCGGCTTGGAGACATCTAAAGTGATGCCACCTTCCCAACCTCAGGAGATGCTTCCAGAAAGTTTCCACAGTCCCAGCACTCAGGGAGTCCCAAGGCCAGGATGGCTGGAAGAATCCAGAGTGCATCCATACCTGGCTTCCTGGGCCAGCTGAGGGGGTAGGGTGGCTCGGGGGTATGACACACTTTGAAGGGGAGCCCTGGCGCCATTACAGTCCAAACATGAAGTCCCAAGTGCAGACACTGTGATTTCTGGTGTCTTCCTACAGCACTTGATGCCTTGCTGGGCCCCCTGTGCCCAGTCCTAGGTGGATATCTGCCATGGCAGGATCACCAGGGAGGGGGACCAGAGGAGCAACCAGTGCAGCTGAAGTCTATGATGCCGAGACCTGTGTCCCAGCGTCAGGTAATCCACTAGATATACAGGTCCCAAAGCCCACCTCCTCGTCCACCAACCAGATGTGTGCATCTGTCTGCCCAGTCCTCCCTCAACACCTCCCCTGCTGATGGGGTCCTACCCTGTGTCCCACCCCATCTGACGTGGTTCAGTGGTGTCTACTTCTTCCCCTGTGCTTGCTGTAACCACGGTAAACTCAGCAGCTAAGGCTTGTCCAGACCATCAGGACAACCACCCTAACAAGAGAGCTACAGATCAGAGAGTATTTGGGGCTAACCATAGAAACCTAGTCCCGACTACAGTCCAGCACACTGAAGGGGCAAGGACACTGTGCGGGTTAGATTTTGTCAACTTGACACAAACTAGAGTCAGCTGAAGAATTGTCCAGATCAGACTGATCAATGGCCATGTCTGTGAGGCACTGTCTTGATTGCTACTTGATGTGAGGGCCATCCCTAGGCAGGTGGGCCTGGGCTGTATAAGGAAGGCAGCTGAGCAAGCCAGGGGAAGCCAGCCAGTGAACAGCGCTCCTCCATGGTCTCTGCTTCAGCTCCTGCCTCCAGGTTCCTGCCTTGGGTTTCTGCCCTGACATCCCTCAGTGATGGACTGATGTGGGAATGTAAGCCAAATAAATCCTTTCCTCTCCTAAGCCGCTTTTAGTCACGGTGTTTGTCAAAACAACAGAAAGCAAACTAGGACAGATGCCTTTGTGACCCCCAAACTCCTGACAAGAAGTCTTCAGGCAAGCTCCCTGGGGGTGCTCAGAGCTGCGAGTGAGTCGACGGCCCCAGCCCAGCTCCAGTCGCCACGGAGGCAGGCTGCACGGTGGTCCCTATGTGTAGTACCTGTGATGCACGTGGCACTGCAGGGCTCGTGGGATGAGAGTTTCCACCGGTACATGTCAGCTGGGCTCACGCCTTGCTTGCGAGCCTTGGGTCTGGTCCTGAAATGAGGCAGAGAGGGATGTGAGAAAGCAGGGTGCTTGAGGGCTCGGTCCTCCGGTGATGTTTTTCTCCAAGGTTACGCTCCCCTTAACCACACACCCGCTGGAGCTCCAGGTAGGACTGTCTGTGAAGACCGAGGCTCCTGCTCTCTGGAAAAGACAGGGAGACACAAAGGTAGGCACTCAGCAGATATGGGCATTTCCCATCTCGAGAACTGAGCAGACTGCTGGTCCTTCTAGGACGCACTGAAAACGAGGGACTCAAAGCTCTCAGGCTCCTCAGTATACCCTCTCACAACGGCCAGCAGATTCCTTCTTCCCACCCCAGAAGGACTCTCGGAATGTTCCAGAATCCTCCTCTAGTGCCCCCCTCAGCAAGGGTTCTGATGAATTGGGGAGCACCGGCCATTCGGCCTCTAATTATCAAAATTATGAAGCCCAGCTGTGGCCAGGAGAACAGCCGAGTCCCAAGTCCCACACTGCAGCTCAGGTCAGTGATGGCTGTTCAGGCCAGCGGACAGGAAAGGGCATGCTGGGGTCCAGCCAGCCACCAGCTATGATTCTTGGCCAGAACTCTGGTGGCCACAGCCAAGTATTGTTAGGACTGCTGGCTTCTTTGAACCACCCTCAGCATCCCCTGTGTGGGCTGTTTGGTTCTCGGGAACAAGGGATTGACTATAGCAGATGTTCCCTCCACCCAGGGTGTCTGCTTCAGGACCCAGCCAGCCAAGAAAGCCCATGAAATCTTGCAAAGCCCAGAGTCAGAAGACGGCAGCTGGGGAGCTGGCCCAGTTGACAGCAGCTCCCCTAGGCTACACAGTCCAAACCCACTTTCCTTGGGACCGAGAGGGGCTATCTTAAGAGGACTGTGCGATGACACCTTTCACGAGTCTTGAACTTGGGTCACTCCCCTTCCCGGGAACCACAGTCACTGGAGAACTGCGGGCGTTGTGGAGCACTGTGTTATGAAATACCGGCTGGTTCTGTGGTAGAGACACGGGTCTGAACTGAACTGGGATTTTTACTGTTTGTTAGTCAAGTGGGTGAGAATGGCTCTTGTTTTGCTTAGATTGGCTAATGTTCCCCAGGAGAGCGCTTTGGGGATGAGCACTGCCCTGATAGCACTTCATGCTCTGAGAACCCAGGAAATGATCTACCAACGGGAGCCTCGGTAATGAGTTTACTGATGTGATTCCATGAATTCTCAAGACGGAGGAGAGGGCGTGGGCAGCAAGGGGGAAGGCTGGGCATTGGGCCGCCTCTCCTGGAGGCTCAAACCAGCCCTTGCACAGGGTTCTGGGAAAGGGAGACTCTGTTCTCCTCCCTGATTACAAATGAAAGGAAACTTTAACATGGGTGGGGGGCGGGGGGGGAGTCTGACCCTTCATCTCATAGCAAAGGATCCTGGACTCTGGACAGTCCAGTGGGACCCACTTAGAGCACCTACTCAGGGTGGGCCTGATCTCTCAGAGGAAGAACTGGGGAAGCAGTCCCTACAGGATCCAGGCAACACCGTGGAGCTGCCCGATTGGGTCCCCATCCTGCTTTCAACAGCAAGAGCAAAAAGAGAAGGGAATTTGCCATTGGTGCCGAAGCTCACCTTTAGATAATTATACGCTTCCCAGCCGCAGGCTGCATGACTCATTCCTAACTCAAGAGCTAGCAGCCAGGTTCAAAATAACCCTTTGGGTTTTAAGCCCTAAAGGTATTTCTAGAGGGGCTGTCTACACCCACTCTCCAGCACGTGTCGGGTGCAGGGCGTGGCCAAAGGCATATGGTACGTGAATAGTACCCTGCCCATGAGATGCAACAGTGCAGCACCCACCAAGTTCTCTCACTAGAAGGTGCGCCAAGGATCGCCAAATCCCAGAAACCACCCCATCTCCACCTGAAAGGGACCTGTCCCTCTGCTGTGATCATCTCTAAGTCACCAGCCACTGCTTTTAGGTTCTTGCCTGGCCACACGCTCCTGAAATCCCCAGGCAGAAGAAGCTCTGAAATGAAGGTGTTTGTTTATAAATGAACCAGAAACTCTCTTCCTTTCTTCCCCCCAAGGCTTCAGGGAGGGATGTGTGCTTCAGCATCCCAGACGCCTGTTCCTGAAGTCGGGTCTGGTGACAGCCCCTCCCTGGATTGTTTGAAGCCTTTCTGGAAGAAGAAAATAGCCCTTCCTTTCTGGGCCGCCCCTTTGATTTTGCCTGCTCCCAGAGCAGACGCGACTTCCTGTGTTTGGACAACGAGCAGAGACACGGCTATTTCGGCTTGGTGGTTTTCCCCTCGGCCTCCCTTGGCCCGTTATCTCCCCAGACCATCTTTGGTCCCCACTGGCAGCATCCTTTGATGGCAGCCGGGCTGGGCATCTCTCTGAGCTGGGGTTTTTCTGAGTGCTTGACAACCCACTTTAATGATTGGCTCTGGGAATCAGGTTTGTCTCACGGAGCTAAGGGGGTAGGGTAAGACTAGGCAGACACTTTGAAATGTGGCTTAGGGATTCTGGACCCTGGAGATCCCGGTGGGACCCACTTAGAACAGCCACTCTAGGTAGACCAAATCTCTCAGGGGAAGAACTAAGAAAAACCAGTCCAAACACTGAGGAGCTGCCTGACTGGGCCCTCCACCCTGCTTTGAGCGGCCTGTGCAGACCTCGGCCTGGGGAGCATCGCATATGAGTTGTTTGGCCTCTTCCAGTCCCTCACAGACAGATGGGGAAACTGAGGCGCAGGAAAGAAAAAGATGTCTCCAAGTCCTACAGAGTGAGCTGCCTACCCATGACCCACAGAGCCCATGTCATAGTCAAACTAAGGAGAGGGCCTTTGTACCACCTAATAAACTTACACAGAGCACTGGGTGCCTGGGCACTGTCACCATTTGGGCTGTGGGTCCTGGAAGGGCCCTCCCCCATACCTTAGAGGCTCAGTGTCTCACCAGGAGCACCCACACCTGGAGCTCTTACTGTATTTCACATGAATGCTCTATCCTCTCTGCTTCCCTAAAGGAAGATACAGTGAGGGCCAGTAGCCCAGAGAGACTGGCCAGACCCCAGAGCAGATGCCTTCTGACTCCAGGATCCTGCCCGCTGCCTTTGGCTCTCAGACTCCAGTCCTGTGTCCCCAGGGCAAAGCCTGTCATTCCCTGCTAGCCACTGGGTCCCGAAAACTAGACAGAGGGCCTGGAAGTGTTGAGAACGCCAAGGGCAAGGGCAAGCAAGCATCCCTGTGCAGCCCTGTGGGATGAGGGCAAGAGCTCCACCCAACTGGAGCCCATCAGCAGGGCCCCTGGTGTGCGTAGCCCTCAGGAAGGGGGCCTCAGGAGGCATGCGAGAGAGACTGCAGCAACAGGGCTTCTGGCTTGGACTTGCAATTCTTCTCCCCGGGAGTGGGACAAGGTGACTTAAACCCCATCCCTCGCAAGGGCCACTGTCCAATCTTCCACCAAACCCCAATTTCAGCCGGTTTTGGGTGGGCTCCCAGAAAACACAACAAAAGCCAAAGCAGGCCGATTCCATCTCTGTCCTCACCCACCCCTAAAGGCCAAAGAGCCTGGCCCTGCTTGTTTACATAAGCCTTGCTGACCACCTGGGCTTCTAAGGAAGTTTAAAAATATTAGTATGGGAGTGGGGGTGGTCCCCCTCAGCCTAATAGTGGATGGTCATGAGGAATTATCCTTCAGTACTGATATGGAAGGGCTGGGGTCACCTGAACCCAGACAACCCTGACCCAAAGAACCTAGGACCTTATGTCAGCCGTACCTATCCCAGGGACCTTCCCACCGAATCCTGACTGTCCAGGTGTTTCCAGCCTTGACTCCCTGGGCAGCACCTGCCCTCGGCCACAGCGGCTTCACTGTCCCACCTGTGGCTGGCTAAGACCATAGCTTACACTCATAGGCCATCACAATAGTAGCTCCAGTCTATTCCTGATCCCTGATGCAGGGCCTCTCCCAAGGGAAGGAACCCCCAGATTCTGCTATCATCTTCTTGAGGCAAAGCCTGGGGCCTCATGCAGAGCCCACTTCATGCCCAGCAGCCATGTGTTCAATGGCTGTCCAGACATAGACCCATCATGGGTCGAGGACCCCAGATCTTCAGGCTCTGTAAACTGTGTGTGCTCCCAGGGGCCTAACACTAAGAGTAGCTGTGATGATCACTCCCTGATCTCTGCATATAAAATACTGAACCCATCCCATCCCTGCCTCAGGAAGCCATTAGCAGTGTGATTCAATCATAGCTCGGGGGCTTGGGCTCACAGACCTAATTTTCAGAAGAATAGACACGTTGCAGTCCAAACCTACGATAGCATGTCCGCCTCACAAGGTGTCCAGTGGGGCTTTCTCACCCACCTACCTTCAGGTTCTCCCAACCTTTTGGGATAGAGCCCCTGTAGTGACCCCTGCCCCAGAGGACACTAAGACAGAGCAGGCAGGGGGGAAGTGCGTCTTACCTCGCCTTGTGAGTCCTGTTCCCGGCCAAGGTGGGGAGGCTGGCACTGGTGTTGGGGAACGGGGCCTCAGAGGAGGTGTTGGTGATCCTGTCACTGCTCAGCTCCAGGTAGGACCCATTGATCAGGTAGGCAGCAGGCCCCTCATTCTCCTCATAATCCACATACAAGCTCTCTGCTGGGGAGTTTCTGGGGGCATCCTGAGCAAAAATGCTGTTCGTGGTCTCGTTGAGGGAGAACTCTTTTGAGTCAGAATCTGTGTCCAAAAGCTGATCTGAGATGGCGTTGGCCGAGAGGAGCTCCTGGGAGGTGAAACGGGCATCTACCTCCTGGTCATCCTTTTCCCCCGAGAGAGCTGTCCCAGTGGCATTGTGGTCTGCAGAGAGACAGATGTTTCAACATCCAATGGCTGCTATTACGCTCTTCTTCATGCTCCCGTGTGATAGATGAGCTATGACGTAATGGGGATGACTTTGTGAGATGGAGAAATAGGAACTCCCAGGTTTTACTTTATGAGACACAGTTGGTCAACATCATCAAGGAGGGGGTGGGTCTGATGGCCACTGCTGATGATTACCTAGGGTCCCCAGAGCCCATGTCTACCTGGAGCCTCAGTGTATAATCTGGTTTGGAAAAAGGGTCATTGTAGAATCAAGAGATGACAGAACCTGGGTTTAGGGTGAGTCTTAAATGGGTAATATTTAATAAGAGAGAATACAGACACACAGACCTCAAGGGGTAGGCCATGGGAGAGCCCAGCAGAGGAGAGAGGCACGCATGGGTCAACACACCCAGGGCTGCCTACAGCCCCCATTTCCCCGGGCCTAGTGCTCCCCAAGTGAACCACAGGACATACCAGCTACATTTGACTCCCAGTTCCTATGGGTGCTTGAAGCAACTGGCCACCTCCTCTCTAAGCCTTTCTCCTCCCTCATACACAGATAACCATATATGGTCCACCCTACTCAGGTATGGGGGTCCACATCCTCAGACTCGGAAACTGGAGGATCAAAAGAAAAGACTTGTATCTACACTAAGCATGGTTAATATCGATCATCAATCACCTTGACAGGATCTAGAACCACTCAGATCACCTACCATCTGGGCATGTCTATGCAGCACTATCTAGATTAGGTTAACTGAAGAAGAAAGACCCATCCTAACTATGGGCTGCAGCAGCCCAGGGGCTGGGGCCCCAGACTTCATAAAAAGGAAACAGTGAACAGCCAGAACTCGGGTCTTTGCTTCCTGACTGTGGATGCACTGTGACAAGCTGCTTCAGGCAGTTGCCGTCACTATGGACTGTGTCCCCTGGGACTGTGAGCTGGGATAAACCCTTCCTTCCTAAGATGCTTTTGCCAGGTATTTTGTCACAGCGATAAGACAAGTAACCAACCCTGTCATCTCTACACACATTTTTCTTACCATCAGTCCCTAAACAGTTCAGCGTCACAAGTATTCAGACCGCATACACACACTGCAGCCAATACTGTGGGTCGCCTGTGATGATTTAGAGTGCATACAGGGTGACTTAGCTTCTGCGCAAATACGTCACTTTATACAAGGGATTTGAGAAGCTGAGAATGTTGGTCCAGAGGACCCTCTTAGTCAAGCTGCGGATACTGAGCTCCGACTGTATCCCTGAAAGAATTGACATGGAGACTACCCAGAGAGAATATTTAACTAACTGACAGTGCTTGGTGCCTTCTTCAACGTCTGCAGGCTTCAACGGGGGCTGACACTGCTCACCAAAGGCCCCTAAACCTGGGGAGGCCCAGCCCTTGCCCATGGCTCCTCCAGCTTACCTGGGAAGCCCTTGCCCCTGGGAGGCCCCTCACAGGCCCTGCCGCTGGCCCGTTCGCAGACCTCATTGGTCTCCTGGCCTCTACTTGGGTCCAGTTCCACCTCAGGACCTGGGGGGCTGAACAGCCGGTTGTCCAGGCCCAGCCGCTCCGAGGAGGCCTGGTGGTAGAGCGAGCCATTATGCTGCATGAAGCCCAGCAGCCGGGCACTGTCCAGCTCCCGGCCCTCGGTGCTTTCTGCGCTCTCGGAGGCGGCCTCAGAGAAGCTGTAATACACAGGCTGCAGGCGGTGTGTGTGTGGCGGCTGAAGCAGCGTGTACTCAAAGGTGATGGACGGGCTCTTGCCATTCTGATTCCACACCTGCAGAAGGAGAAGAAGTGGGACCCCACCCCTTCCTTACACCCTCCTAGCACCAAAGCTCCTCGGGACCAAACTGCCCTGGCCACAGCTGGATCCTTCCCAGAGACTCACACTTGATCCAACAGCATGGCCCCACACAAATGCCCCGGGGCAACTGTGTCCAGAGACTGCAAACAGGGCCACATCAAAGAGGGGCAGAGGGAGTGTGCCACTCTGGGAGCAGGCAACGGGGGCCACATTGTCAGCACAAGCCAAAAATCCGAGGTAATAATTGTACCGGTCCCGCTGGGGCTACTGGAAAGCTGGTGTAGGGTACCAAGCCCCAGACCCTGCCTTAGTGAGGCCAGCACCGAAGGGTCAGCTGACCACAGAGTTCCTGGGAGATTGTCAAGGCCTCTGCATAGACTACAGGGCAGGGCGACCTTGCCCCTGGACATACGCCAGACCTAGCAGCGTCCCTGGCAGAACCTATACTGCTGGGGCAGCCTCACCAAGGGTGGCTGGGGAATGCATTGCCCTGGAGCAAGACGATGGGAGGGGCTGTCATTTAGAGCTAAGCCAGAAGCCAGCAGGTGTAGTGAAAAAACTCTGGTGTCTGAAACTGTGTATTTTAACAACGAAGTGGAGATCTTTTTTAAAAGTTAAAAACTCATTTAATGTTATGTCTTATAGAGTTTATAATGAGTAAAAGATTGTACAAGCATAATAATTCATCTGTAAACCTAAAAATATACAGCCAATTTTGAAAGAGATGTACCCTAGCTCAGAAAAATGTTATTGAATAGGTTAATGCTGTTGTAATGAAATGCTTCTTCTAATAAACAACAACAACAAAAAAAACTCTAGTGTCCGCCAGGTCGAGGGCAGAAAAAGCAGGAAAGATCTCAAAGGGCTCTCCTCACCCTGCTGGGTCTGCCGCACCAAGGAGAGTCGTAGTGGGACGGCAGGACCCTGCTCCTGAGCCATAGGGAGCTGGGTCAAGATATCTGCTCGAAAATAGTGAACTGTTCTTCATTTCTTCACGGTCTGGGACCGGGAAGGGGCCTAACTTCCTCAAACGCTAATGTGGAAAAAATGACATGGAAGGGTCCCCTCCCTACTTCTGGGACATCGTTGCCTGGTCTCTCTTGACCACCAGACCAGGTCATATCCTCATCCTGGAGAAGGGAGTGTGCCTCATGGACCTTCAGGACTGGCACAGGGTCCCCGGGAGTGCTCTCCCTTTCTGGAAAAACATGCCGGCCTGTTACCAGCAAGTGAGACCCACACCCAGGGCAGATGCAGGAGCAACTGAAGGGTTAGGTAATTCACTGGGTGACCACATCTACTAGAGAGCCCCAGAACATTCTGCTCATGGGGGCTGCGTGGGGAATGTGGAGGCCAAGTGACACCAAAAATCATTTAGAGGGACGACGTGAGGCATCCTCACACTCCAGGGCAGGGGGTGCCAGTATAGCTCCAGACTCCCCAACAGCCATAGGATGACCAGGTCCCTGAATTAATAAAGGAGAGTAGAGGAGCTGGAGCGATGGCTCAGCAGTTAAGAGCACTGGCTGCTCTTCAAGAGGATCTGGGTTTGATTCCCAGCATCCACGTGGTGGCTAGCAACCATCCATAATTCCAGTTCCAGAGGATCCAATTCCCTCTTCTGACTTCTGTGGGCATTGCACCACACAGGTGCACTTACATACAGGCAAGCAATAATATACTCATTCACACAACAATCAGTAACAAAGGGGCCAGGGAGATGGCTCATGGGGTTAGAGTACTTGCGGTGCATTCATGAGGACTTGAGTTCAACTCCCCAACACCCACGTGAAAGCTGGTGTGAGCAAGCACTTCTGTAACCCCAGCACTGGGATGGAGACAGGCAGATCCCTGGAGCTTGCCAGCCAGAGAGCCAGCCTAGCTGAAAGGTGAGCTTCAGGCTTGATGAGAAACCCCATCTCAAGAGAGTGAGGTGGAGAGAAAGAGAATACCTGAAGTCTTCCTCTGGCTTCTGAATGCAGGCACAGACAGACAGACAGACAGACACACACACACACACACACACACACATGGCAGTAAGGCAGACATGGTATTTCAATAGCAGGAAGTGAGCACAAGGCACGGCTCACAGAACAAAGGGCCTCCTTGGGAAGAGACTGACCAAAACTGAGCCTTGATTGGCACAAGCAGAGCTAAGGGAAGAGGCAGAGGCACCCCATTTTTCTGAGCCACTTTTTGGACCCTGAATCCACTGGATGAGGGAACAGCCAGGTCCCCAGGAAGGACCCAAAGTTCTCCCGAAAGGCCAACAACTGTTTACTTTGGTCAACCGTTCTCCGGGCCGGGCGGGGGAGTGCACATCTTTAATCCCAGCACTCAGGAAGCAGAGGCAGGCAGATCTCTGTGAGTTTGAGGCCAGTCTGGTCTACACAGCAAGTTCCAGGCAAGCCAGAGCTACATTGTGAGACCCTGTCTAAACCAACCAAACAAACAAACAAACAAAAAAATCAGAAAACAGTTCCCTGAAGAGAGGGGATGGACATTATGGGGCCTGTTCTGAGTTGGCAGGACCCTGACCACCACTGTTATCCCCGTTGCTTTGCTGATGGGTAACAGCTGGAGGGGTGACCCAGGTCTGGCTCAAAGCACATCCACTGGGTCCTTTATCCCCGAATTCAGAACTGGTTGTTGGCATAATTCTCACCTTTCAGATCACAGCTGTCACTATAGACAGGGCCCTTGCTCCTGCCCTGTCCCATCCCGGAAAGTAAATCTGAGACATCATTTTCTCCTTGGGGTATCAGAGATGTCCACGCCATCCTTCATGACCCAAAGGCTACAGGAGCAGGTAGCCCATCGTACCCCACACTCGGCATCTCAGCTGATCTTGCCCTGACAGTGTTACAGCATTTGGGACCACCAGGAAAGACCACTGAAACTCAAAAAAGTTCCAAAACAGCCGAATCTATTTAGCTGGCGGCATTCTCTGAGCCAATTTAGGGCGTGTTGCCTTAACTGGGAGGAGACGGGATAAAGGGAAAGTCCAAAAGATAAAGTCCTTGGTACAAGATTTAAGCTTTTACAATTTTATTAGAATTTTAAAGAAAAATCCTCAGGGGGCAGCAAGCTGGTGATCTTGGCAGCTGCTTTGAGGAGAGTGGAGGGGAGAAGGGAAGAAAGCCACGGAGCCATGCAGGTTTACAGCCCGCGTGGGGTCAGACACATGGCTGACTGGAAGCTACACGGCCGGGAGAAGGCAGCTTTAGGGAAAGTAAAGTAGTACAAGATGCTGGGGGCAGTCCACAGCCTTGAAGGCATGTTTGGAAAGGGGTATGGAGAAGAAAAGAAAACATTACAGTTTTCTGAAGAGTTCAGAAGAGCAGGCAAACTTACAGACTACATGACTGTGGCCGGTCCAGAAGTTCTGCGCTAGGGGTGGGATTCCAGGCAGGAAAAACTCGCTGTCTCATTAATGCACTAGGTATTCACCCATCTAGTTAGCATAACAAGCATGAACCCACCTTCCTAGGGCTGGTCCTATGACCAGATGGTTGAGCAGTGACACTGGAAAGGTGGATCTTTTTTTTTTTGGTCTTTCTGAGACAGGGTCTCCCTGTAGCCCCAGCTGTCCTGGAATGCACTGTGTAGACCAGGCTGGCCTTGAACTCACAGGGATCCGCCTGCCTCTGCCTCCCGAGTGCTGGGATTGAAGGCGTGCGCCACCACGCCCGGCTTGAAAGGTGGATCTTTTAACAGACTAGATTTTATAATAAAGTCTTGACTAGTTAAACTTATGGGGCTATGAGATAACCCTGGAGAATCTGTCATCAGGGTACAGTTAAGGATTGTGGGCCCAGCCAAGCAGTGACCCTCGCTTAACTCTGTGACAAGTATGGTGGCTTTTCTAGAGCAGATGAACATGGCCGTGGGTTAGTCATCTGTGGCCCTGGATGTACAAATAGTCTGTTTCTGTCTCTCCCAGAGTCATTCCCATCTGCCTAGGTGGACCACAGTATTCTTGCACAGCTGTGACCCAGGACTACATTAGGTTCCCAAACACCCTGCAGGTCAAAGGGACCGGACCGTTCCACAGGACACCACGTTGGTCCTTTAAGGGGAAATTACAGGAGCTCTGCTTCTACCACAAGGAGGAATTTGGGAGGTATATCCTACACCGGGGAACATTGGTCTAGCCTGCACACTGGGTGACTTAAAAATTTGCCTCCACTGTGTGAAACAGCAGAGAGGGCTATAAGCAGGCCTGAACTGCAGTGTGCGCGGCTTGCTTGGGGTAGGTGTATGCCCAGGGCTATGGGAGCGACAGAGGTGATTTTGGAGAAGTGTCGTGGAGTGTCTACATGTCCCAGTGGGGTCATAGCACAGACCCTCAGACCATGCCAAGACAGATGGCTTCTAGGCTGCTGCTGTGCCCACTACAGACAGAGCTCCTTAATTCCAGGATACCCCACGACACTCACAGCTAGAACTGAACATCATGCAGTGAGTCTTGTCAGCTCCACTCAGTCATGGGATCATAGGGCAGGCATGCTACTTCCAGAACCAGTCACAACAGGGTTAGACAGCATAAGACAAATCACCAGAACCTGAGATTCTTGCACGAGAATCTCTGAGCTCTCAGCAGGGGCTGCCCTCTAGAGCACCGGGGAGGAGGGGGTTCCCTAGTTACAAGGGGAGGGTGAAGAAAAGTGAGCAGACGATACAGGGGTGTTCTGCGTGGAATCAGGGTGCAAGCTGAAAGTGACCCCACCTCACTGAGACCACATTCAGGAGTGGCCTTAAAACATCACAGTGACAGAAAACCCACCCAGCGTGATCATCACATGTATGGAAAGCATTGCATCCCCAAACAAAGAAGCAGCCATTTCACAGGTGTGCAAAGGGCTTGGGTGGGTGGTTAGGAGACCTAAGGAGAATACAGCAGATTGGGAAGGTCTAAGAAGAGACCCATGGACCAATTAAGGACGTAACATAAGCTTTGGAGCCCTGATCTTGCCTGTTAGTGCCTAGCACAAACAGGAGCCTTCCGTCCTGCAAGAGGCAGGAAGCAGTCAGGTCATGGGTCAGTGAAACTCTACTTAAAATGTAAGCTGTGCCCAGGCCTGATAGCGCAGGTCTGTAGTCCCAGTACCTACGAAACTGAGGCAGGAGGAGCTCGAGTTTGTTTTAGGCCACACTGACCAAGTCAGCCCTGGTCTCCAAGGGCTCACAGGGGATCTGATCTACTGGGCCAGGGTACCACATGGCACTGCAGAAGACAAGAGACCCACGTTACAGCAAAGGAGGCATCACACATGGCCTCTAAAGACTGTATCACCCACGACCCACCAGCTAGTGGCAATGTAAGGGGAAACTGAGTGCCAGCTTTTCAAGGGGGACGTGCCATGGGAAAATGAGTGGGGTCTTGGGCTTTGTGCTAAGACACCTAAACCAGTTTCATTGTATAGACTCCATGGGAAGCAGGAGGCAGAAATAACAGGAGCCACCTGAGGGCTGTTTTTTGAAACAGAGTCTCACTAACTCCTAACCTCTTATCTCCACCTCGAGCGCTGGCTCTCAGATGCAGGACTCAGTGTGCTGGCTACCTACTGAGCTACATCCCCAGTCCTACTTGGGGATTTTGAGCCATTTCTGCAGCTCTCAGACCTGTGTTCTAGAGGCCCTGATTCCAAGCGGGAAAGGGGACAACCCCCCCCCAACCAAAGACACAGTGAGAATGTCCTTAAAAGGTAAACTATGGCCAGGTCTTGGTGGTGCACGCCAGTAATCCCAGTACTTTGGAGGGTGGGGCAAGAAAATCTTAAGTTTGTTCTAGGTCAACCTGGAGTATATAATGAGACCCTGTCCTGAACACACACAGGGAGCAAAGCAAAAGGAAAAAATCCATTAATGGGAAAATGTAAGGTGCAGCTCCCACCTAGTCTATTTGGGTGGCTCATATCAGCAGAGTAGCCTTCCCAACAGGTCAGACCCTAACCACGGAGTACAGAGCAGGATGCTACTTGACAAGGGTCTGCTTGTCCACCAGAGTCTCGCTTGGTGTCCTGTTGCTCTGTTTTGATGGGAACTGGACAAGAACAGCGGCTTTGGATTGAGAAGAGCCTGGAGACCAGGGTTTCGGGACCAGGTAAGTCACCAAGGGTAGCAGAGGTACAAGCTGAGAGCAGGTGGATCAGGAACAGGGAGGGAGAGAACAAACGTGTGTCACTTTTAGCTCAAGACCAGCTGCCGCTTACCCTGTAAAGTTTCCAAGAGAAGCAGGACTCACAGGAGGACTCACAGCAGGAGGAACACGCCCTGCCCAGGGAAGTTCACTGCACCAAGCATATGGGCCCACACAGCACGACGGGAGCTCTGGTAGATGCCGTGTCTTGACCCCAGTCCGGCATGCCTTCTTTAATGAGGGGCCTGGAGAGAACCCTGGCCTAGGCATATTCCTAGCCAGAGGGAACACTTCCAAGCCCAACTTCACCCCTAAAAGCAACTCCCTAGTCAATGTAGAAAGTCTTTTCTCCAGCTTGAGTTAATGCTGATCCCTCTGACTACATCACGGCCTGACATTCCCCCACCCTCAGTCATTCCTGAATCCAGTGCTGTTCCTGAGAACCCCCTCCCTGCAAGCCTTCATGTACGCACTAGGGCACCCCAGAGCCTATTTCTTAGGGACCCCGACCTGTAGCTCTGCCCTCCAGCCAGAGGCCAGGCTGACCAGAGGGCTGGTCAGGGAAAGTCAGATAAACACAGACAGAGAAGTTTCAGGACCTGAGATGTTGGGGCCACCAAGGACACTCTCGGCCTGGCAGCAGTGTGGGGAGGGGAGCATCCTGACCCAAGATGCCTCCAGCACAGGACGGAAGCAGGCAAGTGACCCAGGCTCAGGTAGAGTGCCTTTGAACCCATCCTGTAACCTACAGGTAAACGAGTTACTCTCCTCCCCAAGCCCACAGTTCTGCACCTAAGGCCACAAAGCCCACTTGGTGGGATCTAGAAGTCTCTTGAGAGAACCAGCAGGTCTTGAAGAATGCAGAAACTACCCATCTTGATGGCCCTGATTTCAGGTACAAGGACTGTGCCTGTGGGTCTAGGGCACCAAGCTATACATGTCTTGATGCCAGCTGCGGGAAAAACACTAACCTAAATCATAATGAGCCCAAACTCTGCCTTGCCCGCTGCCCTAAGTCCCAAGCATCCTGGAGAGGAAAGGGCCACAAGCACTGCCCTGGTCCCCCAGCCTCAGGGACCTGGCACAGACACCACAGTGTCATTGAAAGCAGTGTCACTGGGGGCACTATGAAGCAAGGAACACAAAGGCCCAAGTGGTCCAGCCACCCATCCTTAGCTCCCTGTGAGGGTGCCAAGGAGCGTAGAGTGGGCAGACACAGTCTCCCACAAGGAGAGTTACAGCCGTGCTGAGTGCCGATGAGTGACTGGGCGAGGGAGGGAGGGAGTGAATGAACTAAAAGTGGAGTTAATAAGGGAAAGAATGAACGAACCCCTCCCTAAGCAGCAGTGATACTGTCGTGTGCATACCACAGGGCCCTTGAACCTCCACCTGTAGCTGGATTCTGGGGGCGCCAGTGCCCGTGGGCCCCGTTGTCCCCAAAGCCTACGGCACACGCACCATGACGTTAAGACCCTGGTTGGTGGGCCCCTGGGCCACGATGTACTCAATACCAGTCTCATAGACATCCATGGGCCGGCGATACTTGACCACGGTACCAGCAATGTTGAAGTTCTTGGGGCTGTCCACCTTGTAGTTGCCATTGAAAAAGTAGAAGCCGGCTTCGTCCGCAAGAGCTGAGAAAGCAAAACCACTGGGTCAGTTGGGATAGACAGGCCAAGGAGGAGCCAGCACACACCCTGCGGGAGTGGTGGCCAGCTTGCCCTCCCTTTCCCAAACAACCCAAAGGCCGGAAGCACGATGTCACAGGGAATCAGACAGACACTCTCCCTGGGGCCAGCATGTGGCCCTGGCCAATGACAGCCTAAGAGATGCAGACACACTTTCCTATCAGCCTAAAATAAACAACCACAGGCCAGTCTGGGCAGTTGGAAGAACTAGTAGAGAAGCCTGGCCCTGCCCTTCTGGCTGCCTCTGAGGGGCCAAGGGATTGCAAGGTAATGAATTAACACCATGGCCAAGTGACCAGTCTGGACCAGGAGGGTCTGCAGTCTGTGGACAACAGATGCCAGCCAGACACTAGACTGAGCAGGTCAGTCTGGCCGTGATGCTGGTAGAGGTACCACGTCCAGCTCTCCCAGCTCCATGTGAAGCATGGACCATGGTGCCTCATCCAGAGCCCACAGTGACACTCCAGCTTGGCCTGGCAGCTGTGGAGCAGCGTACACCAGACCTTTCCTGGAACCACCCCAAGCTGACCAGCCCTGTCCTCTCATTGGGAACAATGGCACCCAGCGGTCTGTCCATCCACTGGGCTGAGCACTGACTGGGGGACCAATCAGGCAAGAGCAGAACCCTTTCCCTGATGCAGGTGTGAGGGCTCAGCTGGAGGGAAATGAAAGCCAGGAACAGGTGGGTGCCCACTACACCCCAACAGTCCTTTTCTCTGCGCTTCCGGGAGGCCAAACACTGGTCTGGAAGGTGATCTTCCCTGGGGCTATGGGGACTAACACTGAGCCTCCAGGGCCGAGGAAGGGAGGGAGGAGGCAGTCTCAGCACTGGGGAACATTCTGTCTTCCAGAGGGTGTCCTTAAAGCCAGTTCCAGGAACTGGCCTGCCAGAAAAGACAGTTCAGCTTCCAAAGTCCCTGATGCAATGCAAGCAGAGGAGCCGGGGCAATTAATCTATTATCAGACAGACGCAACAAGCAAGATGTGTCTGCTTGAAAAATACCCTTAACATAATAACGTCAGAACATAGCTTCGGGTCCAAGTTCTGCTGGGGCCTGGTTGTCCCAGCTCAGCTTCCGGGTCTGCGCCCAGGGTTCAGCTCGAGGCCCACATCCAAAACCTGTTTCCTGACAGTGAGGCCCTTCCTCCCTGCAGCTTTCTGTGCTCCAGGCCACCCTTGGTATTTCCATTGTCTGCTTCAAGAATGGAGCTTCGCAGCCAGCTCAGAGAACACGGTGTGTGTTTCCCAATCTAACTAGCGGGGTGGCAGAGCCACTGGCCTGGCCAGAGGCCCAGCTCTCCAGGCTCAGTTCACAGATGTCCCCATGGGGGTGGGCTTTGGGCCAGCCATGTGCAGACCTGCTGGGGTTGGGACTTCAAATGCCCTGGGGACCTGGCAGGAGAAGAGGAGCCCAATGTTGAGCTATGCTCAAACACCTAGCTTTATCTGAACCACCTCCCCTTTTCTGTATCCCTAGAGTGGGGGTCTGGCAGGCTCAACTGAGTGTGAGGAGGACAGACAGGTAGACGTGCAGTGCGGAATCAAGGTCGAGCGGAGTCCATTTTGGAAAACTATTCTCTAATACAGCCTGGGCCCCTGGCGTGTCCCACGCTGGGCAGGGTCAAAGGCAGAGTGGCTTGTGTGTAGGGCACCCATCCGTACAGAGCCTCAGCTACCAGGTTACATCAGTTTCCTGGCTTCGCACACTACCTATCCAAAGAGGGTCACTGAGGCGGGGCCTTGCCTTCTCGACACTGTGCGTTAACTTCCGTACGCCCAAGGTAGTGGAGCATCACATTCCCATTACATACTGAGTAGGATCTGTCTGACATTACAGACAGACCTCTGTTCAAGTCCTTCCTGTGTTACTCATGACTTAGGACCGGCCACCTGTCTGCTATCAGTGCTATCCTGGCCCATCACCTCCTAAGATGCAGTTCTTCAAAGAGACCCTACTTCTGGCTTCCCGGCTTCTGCCTGGGCCAGGCTCCATAGTGATGGGGAAGTCACTACCGCATATCACACTCTGTCCCTTTGTCCAGCAGCTCTGAGGACAAGGACCTTCCACAAGAGAGTGAAGCGGACACACATGCACATACACGTGCACACACACACACACATGCACGCACAAACACACAGGTGGATGCGCCTGGCTTGGCCGTCTCCCCAAGGAGTGAGCACAGGTTGGGTACCCCTTCTCCACCCACCCATGCCCAGCCCCAGTTCTACCTACACACCCAGCACATCAGCCGACTTCTTCCTCTCCACAATCTGGATATCTCGGGCACCAGCTGGGATATGGGTCACCAGGGAGTAACCTGGGGGCACAGAGGCATCTGTGAGCAAGGCCAGGGAAGGCAGGCACCGCGGACGGTTGCCTCTTCTGCCCTGCAAAGCCATCCCTGGGTGGCAGTGCCATCTGGGAACTCTGGGTCCCGGCCTAGCGGACTGGCCCAGCCCTGCTAAAACACTCATGTCATTCAGGAGGCTGACCCTTTCCTTGGGCCCTGCCCAAGTGCACCCTTTCCCATCAAGGCCATGGGCATGCCCCAGCCCTCCCCCAAGGAGTACTGTGGACCATGGGGAACTTAAACGTGCCCGTGCCCACAGACTTTGGTCATGCCCTCTACTTCATCATTCAAGAGGCTGTGGGCCTCCGTTTCTATCTGTTCACAGACACAATACTGTCTGCTCTAAATGCCAACCCCAGGGCCACATTAACACGTGATCTTCCTGCCTCTGCCTCCCCAAGTGCTGGAACTATAGGCATGGGCTATCACACCGGGCTTTAATTTTTAAATTAGCTAGTAGTTCACAAGATTCCTAAGCAGTTAGTAGTACCTCCCATAGGCTTCAGGACATGATCTGGCCTTGAACATGGTTAATGAACACAGACATGTCAGAGCAGGCATGTGGCTCAGCAGCTGGGACCACAGACATAGGACCAGGCTGCCCAGGGTCAGAGCAAGTGCCTCGGGACCTCAGGTTACCCTAACCATCTGTCTCTCTGCTGCTGTGGAAGGCAGAAGTGGTGCCTGCCTCGTAGTGACATCCCCAGACATAAATGAGTTAATGCTGACCAGATCTGGCTTGGCACCTGATCAGAACACACTCAGAGGAGTTGGGGGACTGTTTGCACATCTTCCCCAGGCCCCACTCCCTGTCGGGTGGGCCTCGCCCTGTCTGGTAGCCCATAGTGCCTGGTATGTGCTGCGTGCTCTAAAACAAATGCAGTAGCTGACCCCTGACCCCTGACTGCATCGCTGTACCTTCAGCCCAGCAAAAAGCTGTGCAGGCCAGTGTGTGGAAGAAAGGGAGGGACAGGCACGCAGTCCGGCTTTCCTACGCCCCACCTTTAGCAAGGCCTCCAAACAAAGAGCACCATACCTAAGAGGTGCTCGGCATGCAAAATCACACCCCCATGCAACTGCAGAGAAGTGCCCATCTCCCCTTTAGCCAGTCCTCTTCCTGGGTTCCATGTCAGTCAATTTCATGGAAGTCCTGCTGCAGCAGCTCCTGGGGCCCACACTGTGATAGGATCCATTGTCCCTCATGGAGGGTAGACAAGACTTCTTGGCATCCTGGGCCCTCCAGTGGTTCTGACAGGACTCCTCTGTCCTGCCTGGCCAGATCTTAGCCGGTGGGCCTCGGTTTCCTCATCCACTAAGTGGGTTCCAACCTGCCCTCCCTTCATCTCTTAGCCCGATTCAACACCATACAGTTCTCAGGACGTAGGAATGCATTCAGCTGATCTGACTGTTAGAAGTGACACCTTCCAACTGTAATGTGCACAGACCCCAGACACGAGGGTCAGACCAGAGCCAGATGCAAACACAAGGCCAACAAACTATTCCCAGCGGGGGAGGGAGGGAGCCTTGGGAAGGGCTCAGAATCCAGCATGTCCAAGGTCGTCTCACATACTCTGAGACCTATGCCTCAGTTTCCCTCTTCTAAAGGGTGGCATTCAGCCCTCCCTGAAGGCTGCCTCAAAGGTGCAAGGTGAGTTTATTTCCTGCATGCATGTAAGTGCACCTATTCGTGCAGTGCCCACAGAGGCCAGAAGGACATTGCTCCCCCAGAACTGGATCTGCAGACAGTTGTGAACTGCCATGTACATGCTGGGAACTGAACCCCGGTTCCCTGACGGCGGGAAGGAGCCTGACGGCTGACCAGCCTGCCTGGGTCTGGGTGGAGAACGGAGGCTCCATGAGAGAAGGAAACTACTCTAGACGCCCTGCAGGTGGGAGGTAGGGATGCATCCACACAGGCTCCCCACCCGCCCTTACCCAAGTGAGTGTTGGCCTTCCGGTAGTTGCCGGTCACGTGGGTGCAGCTGCTCCCATCCCCCTGGCAGACACCGCACTTGTCCAGCGTGTGGGTGGAGAAGAGTATTCCGTCACAGCCGATGGGCTGCAAGAAGCCAGGGGAGAGGCTGCTGGGAGGGCGCTGTGGCTGGCACGGGGCGTCCCTGCCTCTAAGGACAGGACTGCCAGCACAGTAAGAACAGACATACTTTTGCTACAATGTTTAACAACCTCACATTTTCCAGACACGCAAACCCCTCTCAAGTCAGTGAGCTTGCAGGACGTGCCATCCCGGGCTGGGACCATGAGCTGCCGTTGGCCGTCGACAGTGGTGCAGTGTAAGTCGCATGGCTTGCTAGAGATGTGGATGTAGTCATCTGGGGGACAAGATGGAGAGTCTCAGGGGAGGGAGTACTGGATTTACCACCTCCTACCGAGGCAGCACCCTCCTCATTGCATAGATGGGGAAACTGAGGCCAGGAAAGAAAGGACCTCCCAAAATCTTGGTGGCAGAAATGGAACAAGACGAAGGTCACCTGGCCCGGTTTAAGCTGTGAGTTCCAACCTCTGTCTCTTTGTGAGAGGACGCCACACATGAGACCCACACAAGGGTTCCCCATGGCAGAAGGCCTGGGTACTCCAGCACTGGCACAGAACTGGCGCAATATCGGGAAAGGACAACTTATTCATACTGTGCCTGAATAATTTGTTTCTTCTTCTCATGGGGGAAGAGAGCAAGTGAGAGAGAGTGAGAGATAGAAAGCATGAGAACGAGAGAAAGAGAGAGAGGAGAGAGAGAGAGAGAGAGAGAGGCAAGCATGTCCTGGGCCCCATGGGATGGTGGCCAGCCCCCATTTGGGGTTGTCTGGGAGAATCCGGACCTCCGAGAACAGGCCTACAGGAAATTTAGCCCTATAATCTGTCACTGCTGATGTCATGGGTCCTGGGGGAGGGGACAGACTCCCAGGTCCTCTTCTGGAGAACTGGGATCTGTTCCTGGCTGTGCAGATGGCCACCATGACTTTCAACGGGACCCTTCTCCAAGCCTCAGTTTCCCCACCTGTCCGCTCATAGGGTTCTTTCCTGATGTTGAGAGGGGCCACCCCACCATCTGCCCGCCTCAAGCAGTTCTCCAGGCTCAGGTACCCGGGTAGAGGGGCTTCCAGTGGTACGTCCGGCCGTCGTACACACGGGAGTTGAAGGAGACACACTGCTCTTCTCGGAAGCTCCTCCCGTCCGGTGGACACTCCTGGAAGAAGGAGGCAGGCATGTTCCGGGGGTGGGGGCTAAACAGGAAGTGGCTGCAGCCGGATGACCTGTGGGGGGCCACAGTCCACGGTGGTCCCTCCATACTCTCACTCTACCCTCTTCACCTCCATCCATTCGGGAAAGTAGTGACTATTCTTCTAACACCCCTGGGTGCCAGCCCCTCTCACACCAGACATGACTGTGCATCATCATGGCCTTCTCCTCAGCCATATGGTGGGGGGGATGGGACACACATGCCTCTGTCCACACCCTCACTGTCTAGCAGACTCTGTCTGCATGTGCACGTCTCTATATGCATGTACCATGGAAGTACCCGCAGCAAGGCCGAGAGGAGCCCAGAGCCAACAGGGAAGATTGTCCAAGGTGCCTAGCCATGCTGGGGCTGGAGCCCAAACTGCATTAGGGTCTGATTCTTTCACAAACCCTGACAGCATTGTCCCTGAAGGGCAGGTGGTCAGAGGACAATGTGACTAGCTGTGGCCACTCACCTCCCTTCAGCCCCAGCTCCCTGCATGAGTGCACACATGTGCTGCAGATGCAAGAACACAGACCTCCAACAGCTCCATGAGGCAGACCGAGCAAGGCTGTGAGAACCAGCATCTCCACCCCAGACTCTGGGGACCCTTGGACAGGCCATTAGGGTTTCAGACTGACTTTGGTCCCATTGAGAGCAATCCTTACAACCCAGCCAGAGTCAATACCTCCTCCCCAGACTCTATTACCCTGGTGTGTAGCCCAGGCTAACAAAACAGTGCACACAGGAGCACCTGGAGCTGGGGCGGGAAGGACTTGGGATGGCTGTCCTGAAAAACTGATTCTTAGGTAGGAAGAGTCCCAGGTGTGCAAATGCCCCAGGCAAAGTGGGGCCGCAGTAGAAGACCCCAGCCCTTGATGCCACACTTAGAGCTCCAGTAGCAGAGGTGAATTTACCCATTCTACCACACCCAACATGCAGAGAACAGAATAAACAGTGGTCTGATGTCAGAAGGGCTCAGTGTGAGTCTGGACATCAACCAGCCCACTTCGGGCTCTCCCTGAAGGGACCCGCCCAGCAACAGGATGTTAGGGGCCCTGGGATAAGACCGAGGGCCTCAAGGTGGGGACCTGCCTCAAGACGGGGAGGCAGGCAGGGTCAGGGCCACAGCAAGCCGGCCTCACCTGTTCTCTGCAGAGCTGGTACCGCTTGGATGTGCCTACACAGGTCCTGTTGCCTGAGCCTGGGGCAGACTTCCTCCTGGAGGTTAAATGTGGTACTGAGCCAGGGCTGGATCAAGAACTATGGACGCTGACAACCTGTTATGGGATGCACTGGCTTCCAGAAGCTTCTCTGAGTTCCTCTGATGGCATCTGGCTCTCCCCTATATCTCCAGCACCAGTACAGTCTTACTGTACAGAGTCAGTAATAGTAACAACCATGCTTGTGGAGGCTGGGGCTAACATGCAAACACATGTGATATTATGTGTGGCCTGACATGTGGAGAGGGGCTTCAGTTAGCTCTACATGCCACAGATGAGGAAATTAATGCTCAGAGAGGTTAAGTGCCTTGTCCAAGGTCACACAGCTTGGAAGTCCAGGCCTGCCTGAGGGGGAAGGCTCTTAACCCCTTGTCTGTGTTCCTTCGGGAGCCCTACAGCTCTGGCCTTGCCAGAATACCATTGCTGAGGACCTGTCAGAAGCCCCACGCCCAGCGGAGGCCCACGGGAAGAGGAAGCTGTGTTGTATCAAACCTAAACCCAGGACAGACTCTACCAGGTCACAGGCCAGGCTGCCCCTCCCCCCACCCTTGGGATCTGGCTGAACTCTCACCTCTGTTGCAGGCAGTGCCGCTCCTGGGATGTTACTCCACCCCCGCAACTGCGGGAGCATGCCGTCCACTTGGTCCACTCCCCCCACCAGTAGGCAGTGGCATCAGCTCCCCCCTCCAGGCTGTTGGATGTGGGGCTGTTGTCCTGGGTGAGAAATCCCCAATGGTGAGCAGGAGGACCTGCCCCTACCTACATTCCAGGGTATCACTGGCAGCCAGATGGGAGGATGCAGCCTCTTGAAGGGGCTGCTGGCTGGATTGCTCCGAGACTGGTGGCCTGGAGGGCTCTTCATTGCTGCTGAGACCACAGGTGCCCCACATCTTAAGATCTGAGCCTCTTGGGGGTTGGCAAACACCTGAAGCATAGCCTGGGCTACATCTGCATTCCCAGGACTCCTGTTACATGCCTTACTCCTGGCCCTTGCTTGGCAGACAGGTACTGGCCGCCCTCAGCTACTCTCCTGCGAGCTGGTCAGGGGAGTTAGTGTGATCAGAACTCCAGATCGGAAGCTAGTCTGACCTGCTCTATAAACAAGTTCCTGGGAGCCAAAGAGACCTCTAAGATTCCTGGTCACACGCCCCACCCTTGCCACACAACCCTTCTAAAGTCAGCCCACTTGGGAATGAGCTCTGCACCTGGCAGAGGAGCAAGGCTGGGGACGCTGGACAACGGCATGCCACTCACCGAGGCCTCAGTAGACACTGTACCCCCAGCCACAACTGCCATGGCCAGCAAGGACCAGGCCCAACGTGAATGCTGCCGTCTGTCATCCATCCTAGGAAGCAAGACCACCATCACCACCTGCTTTGGGGGCAAGCTCTCAGGGTTCATCCAGTACCCTAGGCAATGAATTTATCTGGGATCTTGTGGTAGTGGTTGCTGTCTGAGAGGGACTAAGCCATCCATCTGGGTTCATCAAGCAGCCCGGTAAGTGATTACAGATGTCTGTCCCGACTTAGGCACAGAGGGGTGGTACAATAGCCAAGTCTGGGCTGCCCTTCATCTGAGGGCTTCTGCTAAGCTTTGCCTTTGACTATCCAAGCCTCCTGGAGAATGGTTGTGGAGATCAGGGACAACTGAGGAGGTTATAGACCCAGCCTGGAGAGGTCATTGTGAAGAGGCATATGCACCAAGCTCAGCCCTTTGCCTTGACCTTTGCTTTTGCCTTGGGAGTTTTATCTGCTTAATACTTACTTGCAGGCCACCTGAGAAAGTGACCTTCCCCCAGAGCCCATGAGCAATGGAAGGGTGCCCATCCCTCAGCACCCCGCTTTAGCTCACTTCCTGACCCTGTGGTCCTCAAGGAATGACAGCCTTGCTTTCTTAGAGGGTCACCTGCAAAGCCTGCCATCTAGCAATCGGGCACTCAGGTGAGGCACAGCCCAGGCACCTCCTGAGAGAACATGGAACTGGGGGAGGGGTAGGAGGAGGCAGAGCTTGGGCCTTTGTGTAAGCAGCCCAGGGCTCTGTTCCTCACCCCCTCCCAACAAGCCAAAATACCCACCAATCAAATGAAATCCAGGGGCTCTTCCAACACCCCAAGGGTTCTCAGCCCTGCTTCCCTGATCCTCAGCACAGACCCTGCCCTAAGGGAAGCTTAAGCTAATAGCTTCTGTCCAGGGTTGTTAGTCTCACATGAAGGTCATTAGCCAGCGATAAAAGGGGGTTCAGAAACCACCAAGCCCAGAGGGGAATGTGGACTTTCCCAAAGCCATACAGTAAAGCAGCCCACTGGCCCCACACAGCCCAGAACAAACTCAGGGGTTTGGCCCTTTACCCAACAATTCCAAAGGAAGCAAGTCTGGAGATTGCCTGAACCCCGTAGCCTGGAAGCCAAAAGCAGAGCTGCCCACCCCCCTCGCCTCCTCTCCCTCCCTCCCTCCCTCCCTTCTTCCCTCCCTCCCTCTCTCCCTCCCTCTCTCAAGCACCTGCAGGTGTGTGGGAGCTAGGCCAGCAACACCCTTACACCCAGACACACCCAGACAGACTGCAGTGATACCATACACTCACAAGTGTGGCGCTCCATCCTTGAGACCTCCCATCCTACTAGCTGCCCACCACTATGCCAGCTGGCCACTCCTCTCCTGGAGGTCCCATCTACATCCCCATTTTTACTCCAGCAGAGACCCCGTGACACACAGTCCTATTGGCTCAAAGGTGCCCCATCCCTGCTGCCTGCCAAAGACAGGTGCCCAGTCAACCTCACACTTGGTTTTCATTAAGGCTCCCAGACACTGCTGGCTTCCAGCCAGGTCCAACTCAAACAGGATCCATCTCTCCCTGGAGTCCAAAACCCTCAACAGGCCAACAGCAGGGTGTTTGCAGCACAGGCTGCAGCTCCAAGTGCCGAGGCTGGAGCCTCAGGGCCACCCTGCCACTGTACAGTGCAGGTTACCCCTCCCCACTCCTCTGTAAATGAACCTCTCCCCCTCGGGGGCAGAACACCCCCAGTCCCATTCTGGACAGCTGGCTGACCTGGGGTGAGCTGCATCTCGCAGCCCCAGAGGCTGCAATGTGAGCAGGGACAGAGACGGTGGCCTACCTGGCCCTGGGGTCAGCAGGTTGAGCTCCCAGAGAAAGGGGTGAGAGCTGGCTGCCAGGTGTACCGTGCAGGAAGTCCCGTGCAGAGATGTGCGGGCTCTGCCTCTGTCTCTCGTCCTGCCTCCCCAGCAGCCTCCCTCTCCCACTTCAAAGAGCATCCAAGGGAGGGGGGGGCTTCCCGGGAGGGGCGCGCAGCCCAGTGGCGGCTCTGTGGCCGTGGCTGCCTTTATAGCTGTCAGGCAGACGGGGAGGAACTCACACTTCCCACCGGCTGCTCCCCCGCCCGGCCTGCCGGCGGACGGCCTGGCGCACACTTTAACCCGCTCTGCGCCTCTGGAGCCTGGCCAGGCCGGCCCAGCTGCCTGCTGGCTGCTGCCGCCACCGTCCAGGAGCGGTGAGCGGGCGGGAGGCTGGCCTGCCTGGGTCCAGAGCCACTGACCCTGATGGAGTAGTGGCTAGCTGGAGGTCACGTGGAGGCTGGTGGTGGCAGAGCCGAGCCCCCCGCCCCGCCCATCTGTTTCTGCCTCCAGAGGGGGCTGGGAACCACGTGGTGTCCAGGTTGCCAGCTCCTTTTCATAGGGAAGACCCTGAGGTCTGGCGGTGCCTTGTATCCAGGCTACCGTCCATCCTCAAAAAACAAGACCCGAGCAGCTGAAGGACTGAGGGGGACCCCCGATATTGCCCAGCCTAGGGCTCCAGGGAGAGGAAGAGGTGCCCACAGCCTGCTGACCAGATGCCTAGAAGGACCAGGGTGGAGTGGGGGTAGGCACAGGAATTCCGCAGATGTTCAGCACCGGCTTGCCTGGGCCCTGCACCAGCTGCGCAGCCGCTGTGGAACAGGCTTGGGCTCCAAGGCTCTGGTCCTGCTGAGCTGGAATGGAAGGTGCAAGAAGCAGGCCACCCCTCCAGCCTTGCCTGCAAAGCCCAGCAAGACCTTGGATGGTGGAGGTGGAGCACCTGCCCTGGAGCACTCCGTCCTGGAAAACGGGCACTTTGAAAGGGGCAACTGGAGTGGAGCGTCGCATAAAATGGTCGAGTCATTCCCCGTGCCCCTGTGCATGACGGAGAGGCCCAGGACCCTCAGCAGTGACTGGAAACATCTCCCTTCCTTCCCCTCTTCCTCCCTCCCTCCCTGGGGGATGGTGAGTTTCTTCAGCTCTTTGGCTGGCTAAGAGTACTAGACAAGTACTTCCCTGTGTCTGACCACACATCAAAGATGTGATGATGGGGGGAGGGGCAAACTCCTCTGTAGCACATCCTCTCTCTCTCTTTCAAGATTTTCAAAGGCTCTTCCTCCTGATGGGGGTGGGGGTAGGGTGGAAATGGGGTCAGGTCTCACTCCATGTTATGTAGCAACTAAAGTTAGGATCTTCAGTGTTTGCTCCTTGCACCCTGACCCTTCCCCCAGCCCTGACCCTAACCCAGGCCCATGCTGCCCCCTGGGGCCAGTGAGCTGAAGTGCAGACATTCTGTAACCTGTGCTGCTGGATCACATGCGCACAGGCACACACGTGTGCACACACACACGCACGTGTACAGACCATTCCACTCACAGACACAGATCAGATCTTGCTCGTTCTGGAGGCCCTGGCCACTGTTCTCCTCCCCTCTGGCTCACTGCCAGGCCCTGCACGCCCTGGCACAGACCCGAGCCCTCCTGGTACTTCTGGCTCCCACGTGCCCCGGCACCAGGGTGACTAATGGTTTCCCTTGGGAGGGAAACCAGCACCTTCTCTCAGCCTGGCAATGCACAGGCCACAGACTGACCACCTGGGAGACAGTCCTGTGGGACCAGCACCCCCCACAGGTGTGTGATCCTCTATGCCCCAGCTCCCGCATCAGCTGGGCCTCCACCTCCCCACCCTTAACTCTCAGAACCCTCAAATTGGAGACAGAGACAGCCATGACCAGCTGCCTGATATGAAAACTTCAAAGAGATTCAAAGGCTGTTCCTCTCAGGCTCCTCCCCTACTCAAGGATAGCTGCTGGCCCTGTCCTCAGTGGGTTCCCCACCACCTGTGGGCACTTAACTGTTAAGTGTCCCTGGGCCAAAGAAGTACAGTATGTTAAACAGGAGTAAATCAAAAATCAAACAAAAACATGAAGGGTCCAGAGAGACATGTTGATAAGGAGAAAGCTGTGTTCTGCCTCTTAACAGTGACATTTTGCAGAGTCCATGTAGCCCATCCACCAAGCACCAGGGGCCAGAGGTGGCCTACAGCCACTGAAGGAGCCAGCAACTCCAGGCCTCCTGTCTGACCCCTAGAGTCCCTTCACAGCACCATCCCCACATGCTTAGCACCTCCAACATGCTCTGAGGTTACTTCTTCTAGGAAGCCCCCAGGAGCCCAGTACTTTATACTTTTTTTAATGGTCTCTCTTATCTGTGTCTGAGACCCGAACCCTGCCCCCCCAACCTGCCTGGGTTCAGCCAACTGCTGAAGGACAGACATTCTTGGATTACTACCCCTCCACCTACTGCCACCTGCCCAGGGAGAGGGCTACTGGGTGACCAGCAGGTAAGAAGCAACATGTCCTGGTCTAGACCACCAGGCAGACTTCTGAGTCCCCCACCTTCGATCTCAGCCAGGAGTATTGGCCTTTCTGAGAGGCTTCTGCATGAAGTTTAAGTTGGGAAACCCAGGCCTGTGGCTAACCGAGACTGCACAGGCCACTAGAGTCTGAGAAGCCACAAGGAAGTGTCTCCTTTGTGCCCCTAGTGTGGCTAGAACGACCCGCTGATGTCACTCCACAGATGGAAAGCTGAGGGGCTGAGCTCCAAGGCTATTGCTGATCGGGGAGATGGAGAAAAATGAGCGCTGCAGCGCCAGTGCTCTGCAAAGCCAGGAGGACAGTCCCCGGCCCGAGGATGTGCCCACCAGCTCCTCTACCGCCTGTCTGTGTCCAGGAGCTCTGAAGACAGAAGAAACTGGACTATGGCTGCCATTGACCCATGTGTGCCTGTCTTCCCTTGGTCACACGTCTTTGCCAGACAGCATCCAGCAGTGTTACCTTCAGGGAGCAAGTAAGCACAGGGAACCCTAAGTTCACACTCTAGCCCTGCCTCAGCACACCCGGGGTCCAGAGGGTAGCCAGTGTCCTCTTGGGAGAAAAACTACCAATGTGCAGAACAGATGACCCAGCTCTCACTAGTGGGCCAGCCTGCTCTGAGCCCCTCAGCTCTGTGCACTGCCAGAGATCAGGGCAACCCCAGAGACAAGTCCGTCGTGAGCGCCAGAGGAAACAGAGGTTCACAGGGCCATAGAAGGGCTAAGGATCCAGCGCTAGAAGTCATGGGCCTTGATCTGGCCCTCCTGGTGAGTATTCGGAAGCTGGGCCATCCTGAGTTACTCGTGAGCAATTGATGGTCACATCCCCAGTGCTACACACAGGCCCCAAAGATGGAGTTGAAGAACACTGAAGCCTATTCTTTTTCCTCAGGTAACTTAACAGACTCCCTGCAAGAACCAGAGCAGAAAGGCCTGTGCTCTGGAGTGACCCACTGCTGTGAGCCGGGTGTTCAGAATTTAGAGGCCAGTGCAGCAGCTGGCACACCGCTCCTAGGCTGGGCAGACAGACAGCTGTCCTGAAGGCGGAGCGTGGAGCATTCCATACAAGTCAGCACCTCCATAAAACCGCCGTTCGCTCAGTCGAGGGGCTAGGGAAGGGGGAACCAGCAGGTCAGCCCTCATACCACACTTTGTGGCCTGGAGACTGACCTTTGCACAATCCAGTTGGGACCAACCCCACCTGCTGGGCAGAGGAGGAATGCCACCTGAGACCCTTGGGCACTGAAACCAAGTCATGCCAGAAGCCCACAGGGTCTGCTCATGAACCGGGGCCATGACATGGAGTTCTGGCCTCCCAGGTTCATAGGACAAGGGAGCAGAAGTGCCAGGATGAGGCAGTCTGATATGACTGGGTGGCCTTGAGTGAGTTTCTGCTCTTCCTTGGGCCTCAGTCTCTTCCCCTGTGAAATGGAGAGGGCAGAGTTTACATTTGCCTGCTGCTGAGAGGCCCGTGGGGCACAGTGTGATGAGCCCTTGACATGTGGTCAGCACTGGACAGACCCTGAGTGTATATGTGGTTTTCAAGATCCACACACACACAGTGCCATGGGGGATGGTGTGTCCCAGCACCAGGGAAGGCTGAGGTATGAGCCAGGCTGGTGTCCTACAGAAGGCTCAGAGACTGATGGTTTGGGGGTGCACTGTGGGGATCTGATAGGTTGAAGCCCAGAGCAGGTGGAGGGCTGGCAGGAGGGGGCTTCGAGGGGTTTGCTGGCCCTGAACCTACCCAGGTGGACCCTGGGCCCCTTCTCCATGTCTCCAGAGACAGCCACACCTCCCCCAATCCCAGCCCCCAGGCAAATCACTGCTCTGGGAGACCCGAGGGTCATTTCAGTCCTGTTCAGAGCTGGATGCCTTCTCCAGAGTCAGCTGGTCTGTGGCCAGGAGGACAGGCTGGGATGGGAGCCACACACAGCCGCCTCCTTGGAGGGCAGCTCACAATCCAACATTTGTGTGGGGGCTCCCCAGCTGCCCCAGACCCAGCCACCTGTCTCCCCACATTGGGACGTCCCCTCCTCGGGCCCTTCCTCTTCAATGGCTGTAACATATGTGCGGCTCTACTTCCTTCTCGTGCTCCCTTCCCAAAGCTCACAGCCCGACTTGGAGTGCACAGCTAGCTACACACACACACACACACACACACACACACACACACACACACACACAACCAACTGTGGAATGTTTTCCTGCTTCTGGGGTTTATGGCTCTGGGGCACACTGTCCTTGCCATCTCCCTAGCACCTGACATCTACTCTATCCCCCCCCAACCCCTTTCCCACTCCTGCTGGGGGTTGGCGCTGAGTTGGAACTCTGGACCAGTAAAGGGAGAAGCAGGAGCCATGGGAGACCCAACCTGAGAAGCAGGGGCTGTCGTGCACCTCCCCAGCCCCCATCAGCACGGCTCTAACATAAGCGAGGACTGGTTTTCCCATTTGGAAAGGGAACCTGCCCCTCGGAAGCCAGACTGAAATCAGCCCTGCCTCCCTGGACTTTCAATTCATTCATTTATTGCTTTGGTATATTTTGAAGAGTCACAAAGTTACTAGGTTGGGCCTGGAGGGGTTATGGCAGGGAGCCAGACAGACAGACAGATCCCCCTGCTCCAGACTCAAGCAACTCAACACCAGCTTCTTTATCAGAGTGGTGGGTGCCAGGACAGAAGGATCCAGTAGTGGGGGGGGGGGGGGGAGCAGGAGCCCCATGGCTTACTGTCCATCAGTCACAGAAGCCTTCCCGTCAAACACGTTGTCCGAGCTGGGAGTGGACAAGGCAGCGGCAAGGACTGTCGTGCAGGGGAGTCTGGTAGAAAAGCTGTGTCTGGTGGGGGACTCTGGCATGAGCAGGACTGAGATGTACATCGAGGCAGTTTGGGCATCTCCTGAATGGTTAAGCTTCCCCAGGGGCTGGGGCACTTTGGAAAGCTCTTAGGCAGATGCCTCACATTGGACATTTCATTGGGAGCAACAGAAATGGGTCCCAGCCAACTTCAAACAAGACGCGTCCAGAAAAGGATGTGGGAGCTGGCAGTCGGAAGGGAGGTAGGGCAGCCGGGCCTGAAAGAGCAGGGAAGCCATAGCCTCGCCTAGACAAAGCTCCTGAGGTGCATTGGTCCTTGAACCTGCTACACCCCAAGATCCAGGGGGAAGAGATGTAGGTGATATAGCCATACAGGAAATACCATCCAACCAGCCACCAAAGTGACTGGTCTGTGTGACAGCACTGACGGTCCTCAGGGGCATCCCACAGGCAAAGGAAAAGAAGCCAGACCCAGAAGCCTGCACGCTGTGTGATCCATTGTCCAGGTCTAATGAGGTCAGGCCTGGGCAGAAATTATAACGGTGGCTGCCTCCGCTGGGGATGGAGGAGGGGACCTACTAGAAAAGGCATAAAGGAGATTCTTAGGGTACTGGGAGTGAGTCCTGTGGGGGTTACACGTGTGATTGTGCACCTGCCTGAATGCATCAGGCTGTAGGTTTAAACCCTATGCACAGTGACAAAATACAATGGCAATAGAAGCTGTTTTGCAAATCACAAATCAATCCAGAGAGTCTGCTTGGGAAGCTCAGACCACACAATCATTGTTCCTTGGCGGGGGGCTGAGGGGCCCCTGCCAGACAGTTCCCTTAAGACATCTTGCAACAAGACAAGGTAATTTCCTAAAGGCCAGCCAAGGAGCTGTTGTCAAAAGAGGAGGGAAGGAAAACTTAAAGGCCAAGCATCAGCCTCAGAATGGAGAGGGTCCTGTCTGCTAAGGAGGTAAGAAACCGTGCAGGCAGACAAGCCCGTGGCCCAGAAGACAAGGGAGAACAGTCTGTGTGTTAGTAAAGGGTGACGCCTGTCTGCAGGGTCCTCTGAGAGAACAAGATTGGCTCAACTAAGTTCTTTCACTGCCTACGGCCCTTGGATATGTGACCCAAGGAGAAGCACCCTGCTGTGTTCATCCTGTGACAAGGACCAGCATGGAAAATGACCAGATGTTGAGGGGCTTTTCCCGAAGAACATTGCCTCAGAGAGAAGAAACACAGCCTCTTTGAGCCTGCTCCCCTGGCATCTGGGAGGGGGAGCAGGGGAGAAGCAGAGGCAAATGCTGACCACGTGGTACATCAGCTGTTGGGCCCTCTCCATGTGTCACTGGGCTTGCCGGCTCAGGGCACTTAAGCCCTCCTCGTGGGCGCTGCCACAGCTGCCGTCAGGGCCGCCGAAGGAGTTCACCTTCTTTTTCCCTCAGTGGTGTGTCTGGCCCTGGGGACCAGAGAGGCCTGTGCGCCCTTCTCCCTAGCCGGTGCCTTCCTCCTGGTCCATGGGGACCGTTGTGGCCAAACTGCTCCTGCCCACCCTCAGCAGCCTGGCCTTCCTTCCCACGGTGAGCATCGCTGCCAAGAGACGCTTCCACATGGAAGCCATGGTCTATCTGTTCACCATGTTCTTCGTGGCGGTAAGTGTGGGGCCTGGAAGGAAGACCCCATGGGGAGGGTGACCCCCCGGGGAAGTTGTCTCTGCCTCCGACCTGTGCCAGGTGATGGGGGAATGGGATTTGGAAGAGAAAGAATGGGTCCAGGTCAGGCTCTAGAGACCAGAGAGAGAGGGGGATCCCATAGTCTGTCTTCCTCTCTGGATCTCAGTTTCCGATCCGGGCCAGGAATCTGGGGGGTATGACTGACACATGTGAGTGAGGCCAGGCCCATGGTGGCCCTGCGTCAGTCGGTTAAGAACCAGCCTTGCAGGCTGCCTCTCCTGCTGACCTCCCAGAACCCTCCAGCTTTGTCTCTACCAGCTTTGTCCCTGGAGTTGTTGAGCTGGGAGAAGATGAGCAAGCCACAAAGTCACCTGCTGGGATCAGGGAAGGGGTAGTGCCTGGGTCGATCTGACCCCAAATTTCAGAACTGCCCCATTGAGAGGGGCCAACCTGTCTCTGGGTCCTTCTTTCTCCTGATACGCATCTGGCTAGCTGGCTCTCAGTTCCCACTCCCCTCTGTTCTCAAGTAGCCATTCGGGGCCTCTGCCTTTCAGAACACCTGGTACCTGGCCAGCTTGCTGAAGCCCTGTGTGGGGGCCTCTCCCACCCCCAGTTCCCTCACTGTCTCTGTCTCTGTCTCTCTGTCTCTGTCTCTGTCTCTGTCTCTCTCTCTCTCTGCCTGACTCTTTTGATTTATGAAATTACATGCCCGTGGACTTCCTGTCCTCTTCCAGATCCTGGTCTATCCTCTAGTTTCTTCTCCTGACCCTCCATGTCTCTCTGGCTCTGTCTGTCCTTCTGTCTATCATCTGTCTCATCCATCCTCTATCAATCTATCTTTGCCTTCTCTACCATCTTTTCATCTATTTATCAATCTATTCATCCACCATCTGTCATCTATATATCATCTGTCTAACCAACCATCTCTCCCGGCCTACCCATCTATCTTCTCTCCATCCTAATGCCCTCCTATACTCTGCCTCTGGGTCCCTCTGAGTCCCCCGACTCCAGCCCTTGACTCTGGCCTCCCATCAGAGGTTCCCCATCTCCCTTACTCTCGTGACCTTTGCTCCTCTCCTGACATACAAACCCCTGATCTGTTTGTACGGTATGTGACTCACACATTGGCAGATGCGTGGTCTGTGTAGGTGAGCTGTGAACCAGCCTCCTCCTCCGGGCAGAGCCAAACCTGTAATGTAAAAAATGTCATTCACTCTGTCCCCAGGCTGGCCTCTCCCAGCAGCAGGGCCTCCGTGGGCAAGAGTATCAAGTGTGTAACTGTACCCTGCTAGTCCTGAGCACATGAAGCCTTGAGCACATACACATGTGTCCTCACACAAGTCACATAACCACCCAGCGTCCTGAGTTGGTCAGGATGACAAGCTACCAGTACATGTAGTGAGAGCGAGGGGGGGTGGGGAGAGTACATACCCACTCCCTGGTTATGGTGGTCCCCAGAGAAAGTGACCTAGGATAGGCCGTGTCCTCCAAGGAACTGGAAGCCCTAGGGCTCTGAGTCCATTTAAGAGCACAGGGGGACATCAGGCCAATGACCATGAGTCACAAGACAGTATCCAGGGTAGAGACTGAGTTCAGTGCCTCCCAGGAGCCTAGCAAGATGATTCCCAAATGACAGAGGAGAAAACTGAGTCCCAGAGAGGCTGAACCACCAGTGAGCATCATTTTGAGCACCCCCCACCCCCGAAGCCCATTCAATCTGCCACTGGGTCCTGGCCAAGGCCAGAGAGGCCATTGACAGACGAGAACCAAGGTCCAGAGTCAAGACAGGACTCCAAGGCCAGGGAGAGAAGCCGGGGTCAGATCCCCAAGGTCCATGTTAGACACAGCCCAACAAACCACAGGCCGCAGTCAGGCCACCCCTCCCAGCATAGGTCTGGGCTGGTCCACAGCTGCCTCTGTGGCCGGCCTCAGAGGCCCGCCCTGCCCCACCCCAGTCTAGAGTGACGAGGCCAGCTGTCTCCTGTGACAAATGTCCTCCAGCTCAAAGCCACAGCCTGTGCCTCCCAGAACCCTGCCTTCCACACAGCTGAACAATGACCATTTATGTAGGACATCGTGCTATGCAGTTTACCATCAGGGTCCCCTTGGAAGCCCCCCAGAACATGTGCCATCCCATTGGACAGAGGAGGCCCTGAGAGCTCAGTCTGTAGCCTGGGTCCCCTCCCAACGATCTTCTGGGCTGATAGCAAAGTTGACTTTCTGCCACACCCAGGCACACCCAGGCCCAGCCCAGCCCCAGCTAGGACAGGTCCATGTGCCTCAGGAGAGGGAAGGTAGTCATCACAGCTCTGCCCCTGCCTGATTGGGCAGGAGGTACCCAGGGAAGTTCAGTGTCTTATAGAGTGCATTCCCAAGAAGCCCTGGGGCTATGGGAGAAGCCCTCCGGCTCTGGGGACAGGTAGATCCCCTCTAAGCTTTACCCCTCCCACCCCCAGCTAATACTTTATTCTGGGAGCTAGAATAACTTCGCACCTCCTGCCCCTCATGGGGAAGGGCACTCACAGTGATTAAGTCTTACCCATTCATAAGGGCCTCTGCGGTGAAGGGGTGAAGGGGAGGGCATAGACCAAAGTTGGTGGGACTCAGGTGGGGTTTGGCAGAGAGGTTCGACAGGAGCAGGGAGAGCAATGACTCACAGAGCAGAGGCCTTTCCTTCTCTGTTCGCAAGCCTTGATCTGTCCCCACCTGAAGAGTGTCTTCCCCTGAGCTAAACAGTTACAGCCCACACTTGGTTGTTACCTTCCTCTTTGCTGATGTCACTTTTTTTTTTTTTGGTCTTTTTGAGACAGGGTCTCCCTGTAGCCCCAGCTGTCCTAGAACTCACTATGTAGATCAGGCTGGCCTTGAACTCACTGAGATCAGCCTGCCTCTGCCTCCTGCCTCCTCGGCATTGCATGACACAGGTGCACTTACATACATGCAGGCAATACACTCGTGCACATACAATAAAAATAATAAATAAAATTTAAAAAATAAAAGTAAGGGGCTGGAGAGATGGCTCAGCGGTTAAGAACACTGACTGTTCTTGCAGAAGACCCAGGTTTGAATCCCAGCACCCACATGGCAGCTAACAATTGTCTGTAACTCCAGTTCCAGGGGATGCAACAGCGTCTTCTGTCCTCCTCAGGCATTGCACAACACAGGTGCACTTACCTACATGCAGGCATAACACTCATACACATAAAATAAAAATTATAA